CCGACTCTGGACTTTATTATCTAAATAAAATCACTCCTACAAGAAGAACGGAGTCAACAACATTTAACGTGACAGTTTACGGTGAGTGTTGGTTGGTATTCTGGATGTGTTATAATATGAAATAATTTGAAGGGTTTATATATATATATACATTTTATATAATCATAATGGTTGTAGAATTTTACAGAATGGTTATAGAATTTTGTCTACTTGCTCTGTGGCCACAAGTTATTGTTCTATCTTTAGCACCATTATGTTTTGGACATGAACGGGACATTTTTGGACATTTTTTATTGTGTTTTACAGGTTTCTCGTACGCCGCTCTCAAGAGCAAGTCCAGAATCTGTTCATCTGAAAGATCATCCCTGACAAAATTTGTTGTTTTTTTTCTACTTCTTTGGTAACTGGGGACATGCAACATGTCCTGATCGGATTGGATCGGATGCCTCCTTTGCGCCGATTGAGTCGGGCTTACATTACAATTTCAAATGCAAATGGAAAGTTTGTGTAATATGTTTGTTTTCATCTCATCAACCTTTTAATATTGGCATTAAATAGACTTAGACTTTTTCACAGAGCACTGGTATCCTGCAGTTTGTGTTAAATTGTGTGTGGGGGGTTATTAATAATAATAATAATAATAATTTTATTTATGTGGGGCCTTTCCAACACCAAGGTCGCTTTACAAAGATAGGTTAAAGATACAAGCAAAGAGGGATTCAAACAAATAACATATCATTAACATTAACAATGTAGAATTTATTGACTGTGATGAAGAGCAATATTCAGAGAGAAAAAAAAAGAGTTTTTAAGAGGTTTTTGAAGGAGAGAAGGGTGAATGCTTGACAGATTTCTTTGAGAGCATTTCACAACCTGGGAGTCACTCACAACGCTAAAAGACTCCTACGGTTACCAGACTATTGAAACTGACTGAATATGGCACAGTCCCAGCTAAGATATATTTCACCAGTATATATCACCACAACTGATATATTCACCACTGCATCCAGTATTTTCCAGTTCAGACATGCGTGTTTGTTTATTTGTTTGTTTGTTTATTTTTGCAGAACACATGCTAAATTGTTTGATAACAGTATAATATTAGGTTTACCTAATATATGTCATTATAAGCAGCATTTTGCACATGGGGAAAACCAAATGTTTAGTCAATAATTCAAGAAGGTCCAGACTCCAGACTTTAAAGTTCTTTCTAACTTGCACTTGGCTTTATGAATAAACATATTATTGTAGCTGTTTAACTATATAGCATTTGTTTACAATAAGGACCATTGATGACTCCTCATAAATGTTAATGTTAACTTTTTTCTCTTTTTTTTAATCTATAGCATCTGTTATGAAAAATAACAGCCTACACATTTAAAAACTAACTGCAACACGCCACTGTTGGAAATCATTAATGCAAAATCTAGATAGAAAGTGATAGTGATAGAAAGATTTTTACTGTTCAAAGGTTTCTCAAGCCACTTTCAGGAGACTTGACAACTGGAATAATTATATATTATATGCAAGTCGACAACTCTTGTGTGATCTGTCATGCAGACACTTAACAACTCTTCTTGCAAGATGTTCTGCCCCCTACCTTCAGGTAAGATGCGCTGCAGTGTACAAACAATGAGACAAGAACTAAACTAATACAGCAGAGTTGCACACTAGATCCTTCATTCCGCCTTCAAATCATATATAAAAACATGTGATACATAAATAAATGCAAGCAAATTGTCATGATCATTGTAACATTTTTGGGGTAAAAGTTTGTCAGGCCATATACCCTTCCCTTACATGCTCTTTAAAAGAACAGGTCTTTTCTGTCATACCGCATTATATATCAGTGTCGTTTGAGGAGGCGTGTTATAATAACCTTACGGTGTCTCACAAAACAAATCAACACTCTTATGGCAATGTACAAGTGTAAGATGAGAAACACTCCTGAAACATCCTGAGCACTCAAATGAACCCAAGTGGCCACAAAATTGATATAAAGTTTAAACCATGTGTCCCACTTAACTTTAGCTACCTGTTCATGCTGAGATTTAGCTAAACTATGCACCTGCACTTCCAGTGTTTTCTGGAATATATGAACAACTCTCAGTTGCAATCACTTTGCATGTTTCACCCTGGGAGGCTAACAGTATATCAAGAGCCAACAACCATTCTCATTGCATGCACTTCCTCTGAAATGTTAGCAATAGATCTAAGAACTAAAGTGTAAGTGTGCTGTGGCCTCAAACGCCTCATGTAGTGCCTACAATTCCTTTTGTAAATTGCTCACTCCTAAAAATGGTAAAAATCGACAGTTTTTCAGTCTGTTTCTTGATTAAATCATGTTTCACATAATCCTGACACTACTCACATTGCCAGTCGTAGATAAGCCAAATAACATCTACCTTTCCATCATATAGGAAAAAATGGATATGCTTTATTACTAAAAACAAAGTTTTGTCACGAAATTGGAATCGCACCTCTGGCATCTAACATTGTTTCCTTCAATGCACCAGGAAGGACTGCATTTTTTTTTATTTAGAAATTGTCATAATTTAGAAATAAAAAATAAAAAATTCCTACCTTGATTTTAGCCTCTGATTTGAGCGCTCTGTTTGAAGACGCGTGTCTGTTCCCAGCTGGCATTCGACTGACATTAAACGTTTAAATGTGGTTGAAATAATGTCAGTTTATGAAAAAACATTAATTCAACGTTAAAACAACGTTGAACATCAAATAGTTGAAGTTGTGTTGTTGACTCACTACGGATTCAACATTTTTGAGTTGTAGTCAAATCAACATTATTTTTACAACCATGACTTTTAAACATTTTGTTGAAATATATCAGTAGAAAAATAACGTTGTTCCAAAATCCAATTTGCAATCTGATTTGGAAAATCTAATCAAAATTCAACGGTTATCCAACACTGGCACCTGACGTTGATTCAACAGTGACTCGACGTTAAAATGCCAGCTGGGTGGAGGACACGTCCCTAGCGTCCCTATTCTACGCCCCTGGCATTTTAGCATTTCCATCCAGTTTTGTTAATGCAATATTCCCCAAAATGCGTATAAGGGCCCTTTCACACCTACCTTGGTTTGTCCGATATGAAGATGAACTTGCATGGTTAGTTCGACTCTGTTCTGGTTGAAAGTTCTCTCTCTCTCTCCATGAGCACATGGCTGGTTGTGAGTCAAGGCCTGTGCCGAGGCCACACAGGACAGCACAGCACCCCGAACGTACCGAGAGGGCCAAGAGAGGATAGCCTACTTAAGGGAGATTATTGCTGCTCTCCCTGCTCTTATCCATGTGAGGCTGCATGATGCGCAGGGAGTTCTCACCCAGAACGGACCGCCCATATCCAAACTGTATGCTAATTGTCAATCGTATTTGACGATAGTGGTCCTGACAGAACTCTAAGACCCCATTTACACCTGGTATTAAAATGCGATCTGTATCCAGATAAGTTATCCGGATAATAAAAAACGCATGTTAATGCAAGGTGTAAATACGTTGTGATCGGATTGTGATCGCATCTGCCTGACCACATCTGGAGGTAGTCTGGCTCGCATTGTGTTCGGATCTTTAGGTGTAAACGCAATCCGTACGACGTGATGGCATACCTGCCAAACGTCATTTTTTTTGTCATTTTTTTTCTGGAGGACAGAGATCCGAACTCAATGTGGATAACGAGAACGCATTAAAAATACAAGGTGTAAACGCAAAGGTAAGATCAGAACACTTATTATCCGGATAACTTATCTGGATACAGATCTCACTTTAATACCAGGTGTAAATGGGGTCTGATCTGAACTGAGTGTGTCAGATAAGAGAGACATACAAAATGTGCAGAGCAGCGGGTCCCGAGGACTGGAGTTGAGAGCCACTGTTTTATCCATTTTTATTTATTTACAGTGTTGTCCAATTAGTAGAGTGGTGTAAATGTGTATTAAAGTATCATTAGATGATGGATGGAACAGACAATTGCTGAATTCAGAACCGCATACTAGCACACTACTCTTACAATTTCTGCCATAATGATATAACTGAAAGTGCAGTATGCTAGTATGCGGTTCTGAATTCAGCAAGTGTTTTGAGTCTAGAAGGGAACATGGTGTGACTACACTTTGCCCTCTAGTGGTGTAAGAAGTAACATTTGGGCTGCTTTATTAGGCTACCAAATATTTTTTCTGCAAACGTCTACACTGTGTTTATTTACGTATGTTGTACATCAACATTTTACAGCTCATTCATTCATTGATGGTTCATGAGATCAAAAATTTTGTTTTTCTCTTTTATGTTCCCCAGAACCTCTTCCCAGTCCTCAAATTACCAATCACTCTAATCATTGTCCGTCATCAGACTCAGAGTGTGTGTTGGAGTGTTCAGTGGAGAATGTGAGTGATGTGACTCTCTCCTGGTACAAAGGAAACCGTTCGTTGTCCAGCATCAGTGTGTCTGATCTCAACTATGGATGTCTGGATCTGGATTATAAGGATACTGGCAACTACAGCTGTGTGGTCTCCAATTCATTCATCAATGAGACTAAATATCTCATCATCAGTGAACTTTGTTCAGGTATGCTAGCATTTGTCTTGACTTGATCCCTGATGCCTTTTTATTTGATTTTACCACACAGTGATAGGTTTGGAAACAAACCTTCAGGAGAAACAAATTCAGTCAAGTGTTATTAAACTTATGTGAAGTCTGACATTTTAAATTTGCATTTATGAATCCTGTTTCATCCTACTTAGTTTTTAGTTATATTTGATCTGATTTTTACCTAATTTTGGTAAAAAAAATCTTGAGACGTTGATGATAAATGCTTAATTGTTAATTGTATTAATTTTCATGGGTGTTAAAGTTGCCACTGATGTCTTCTTGGTCAAATAATTCCTGCTGTATTTAATAGAGATATGCTGTTGCTTTTGTAAATTGAAATGAGTTTGGCAGGATCACTGTCTTACAGTAATTACTGTTTTCTTTTTGTTCATTCCAGATCAGAGCAACAATCGCATTCTGATAATATGTGTGTCTGTTGCTGTCATCGCTTTAATTCTGGGACACTGTTTCTTCAAGCGTAAACAAGCAAGACAAGAGGGCAAGTATTACTTACTACAGCTGATATATGTCTTTTGTGCAAAACTAACTATGACACTATGACAATTCTTGTTTACAATTTATTTTTATTTTTTTGATGTAGCATCATTTAGCAACTTTGGACATAATTACACCATTCAAAGAGTACTAGATTTTGATGATAAAGTAAAGAATTGGATATATGTAATAAATGCAAGAATATTTACATAAATGTAAGAATATTTACATAAATGTAAGAGTAAATGATGAAATTAAAGCCTGCCAGTCACTCGGTGGAAGATCTCATGATCATTCTGATGAATGTGTGTTTAACAGAGGCTGGCAGTCAAACTGCGACCAATCAAAATTGTCCACAAGGTTAGACAAGGAAATTGCAGTTTTTATACTACCTTTTCACAATATACAAAAATTACCATTAAATTATAATGGTACATTTGAATTTAACAGAGGCATCCAGTAACGCCACAAACCGCAACGCTGAAAATGAGCAACAACGTTTGATTGACAGTTCATCCTCCACAGATACATCACAATCCATCCAGATATACATTTCTCTCATGCCATTTCCAAAGCACACATCAGGGGATGTTGCCATTTTTTTCAAGATTACTTTGAGACTGTCTCTTACTAGTTCTTACATGCTCAAGTATTACACTTGGTGGCAGCACAGTCAAAGTTAAACAATCCTGTTTATTTTGATATTCTGCAACAATAACAACATTTTAAAAACTTAAAAATATTAAATAAATAAATAATAATAAATATATATATATATATATATTTAACCCGCACTAAATACAGAATTGTTAAATAGCAGAATTTTTTAATAATTGTGAGACTGTTCTTTAGTCATAATGAGCCTGCATTTAATGTTGTATGGGACAGATGTGATTCAGTTTGCTGATATGGACCAAGCATCGGCTATAAGGAATTAAAGAAGTAAATTACACGACACACTATGATTAAGCAGAAACACACTCACAGAAGTGCTGTTGCACTGATAGACATAAGCACAAGTCGTTATTGAGTAACTTACATTTTAGAGAGAATTTGGCCAATGTAAATAGTTTCAAGCTTTGTGTATGTGAGTGGAGCGACAGCAATTTCCCCTCGCTATTCAAAGGGCATCAATTATTCAGCTGCAACTCCACAAGTTTTCTGTTTCCCGCTCCACAAAATAGAATGATATTTGATCATGCAAACCATTACTAACAATAAGCTAACCACATTATTTTAGTGTTTTTTTGTTTTGTTTGTTTTGTTTTTTTGCTTTTAGCTAAAATGATTATGTAACGTTGGGAGTAATAATACAAAATGTTTTCAATTCATGAATAAATGCAAATATTTATATAACAGAGTCTGACATTTACTCTTTATTTACTTAGGCCCTAATTCTTCTCAGCTACAATAAAGATCTGATTTAGTAGATTATGTTGAAATTTCCTAATGGGAGATTTCTGTTCTGATCATTCCGTAAGAAATAACATTTAACGAACACAATTGTGTGCGGCTGAATAACTTACAATTTAGGCCAAATTTGGCTAAAGGCCTACAGTAGTATTTACTCTTTCTCTCTCTCTGCCAATGAAAATGGTTCATTATAGCATCAACTCACAAAACCCTATAAGCAGCCATATAATAATGGTTGAACGAGAATAAATATATTATTGTTTTTTACTAATGTAAAATGTACTTATTATTAATCATGAAAAAGGTTTTTTTTCATTAATAAATAAATAAAATTAACTTTGTAGAGTTTGTTTTACGTTATTCAGATTTCTGTCCTGATCCTTATTGTGAATAAATAAATAATAATAATTTGTTACATTTCTATAGCACTTTTTACTCAAAGCGCTTTACATGGAAGGGGGAATCTCCTCAACCACCACCAATGTGCAGCATCCACCTGGATGATGCGACGGCAGCCATATTGCGCCAGAACTCCCACCACACACCAGCTTACTGGTGTAGAGGAGACAGAGTGATGAAGCCAATAGGTATATGAGGGTGAGCTCATGATGGACAGAGGCCAAGGGGCAAATTTGGTCAGGATGCCGGGGTTACACCCCTACTCTTTTTTTTTTTTTTTTTTTTTTTTTTTTTGAAGGACATCCTGGGATTTTTAATGACCACAGAGAGTCAGGAGCTCGGTTTAACGTCCCCATCACTATACTGGGGCGTTAGGACCCACACAAACCACAGGGTGAGCGCCTCCTGCTGGCCTCACTAACACCTTTTCCAGCAGCAGTTTTCTCAGGAGGTCTCCCATCCAGGTACTAACCAGACTCAGCCCTGCTTAGCTTCAGTGGGCAACCAGTCTTGGGCTACAGGGTGTTATGGCTGCTGGCTATAGAATAAATAACATAACAACCACAAGGTGGCAGAAATGTTTTAAACTATTTAACCTTCTACGTTATCAACGTTAAGCCAGGGTTTTGACGGGGCGCACCAAAGAGATCGCTGGGTTGTTTATGATGGCGGTGGGAAAATAAAGAGCTTTTTCCCGTTTTCCAAGATTAGGGCGGCCCCATAAATCATCGTACGAAACGCGAAAAAGTCAAATCTACTACAATCCGTATTGTGACAAATGTTGTAAATGTAAATAGCTTCTACATGACATAGTAGGCCTATACGTTTTATGACTCACCTATTTTGTAAAATGGTTTGATCTGCGAGGCAACGCCTCAGTAACGGGCATAGGGTAGGGCTAGTAGGCCTACGTTTAAAAAAAAAAAAATTGAATCTGATGATGATGCCGGTGAATAAACCAAAATTTTGCACAAATGCTAAATTTTTCTATATTCTAATCATTTGTCAACATGTATTAATTGCCTCAATTACCTCATTGCCTCTGCCCTAAATTAATGTATTATTAGCTAACTTCGTGATTTGTATGGACGTTTCTGAAATAGCCTACATAACTCGGACACAGCTAGTCACCTTTCTGAAAATAGATCACTCTGAATTGTAATGTAGACGCATACATTTTCTGTAAAAGTGCTTTGAAACGATATGTATTGTGAAAAGCGCTATACAATTAATGTGAATTGAAATGTGAAATGAGTTTTAGTAGTAAATTACTTTATTATTGTCGAGTGAAAACTATAGCAACTTAGACAGGCTCTTAAAGGGATAGTTCACCCAAAAATAAAATTCTGCCACCCTTATGTCATTCCAAACCTGTATGAGTTTCTTTCTTCTGCTGAACAAAAGAATATATTTTGAAGAATATCAGTAACCAAACAGTTGATGGGCCCCTTTGACTTCCATAGTAGGCTATTTTTTTTCCATACTATGGAAGTCAAAGAGACCCATCAACTGTTTGATTATCAACACATTTTTCAAAATATCTTCTTTTGTTCAGCAGAAGAAAGAAACTCATACAGGTTTGGAATGACATAAGGGTGGCAGATTTTTATTTTGGGGTGAATTTTCCCTTTAAATTGAACATTTCTGTTCTTATATGTTTCTCCTAAGCTTGTGGTTGAATGGCTTGTGTCAGAACCCAGGCAGCTGCTTACTGTAGTTTCACATGATGCAGCTGCACTTTTTTTTTCATGGAAATTCCCCCAGCTCCATCTCATGTGTTTAGGAGATGTGCACGGAAGACTGAGAGGGAGGGGGAGGGTAGAGAAAGAAATGTGATAGTCTTTGCTGGAAATCTGCACTCGTGTGTTTAACGTACTTCATTGTTCCCTCGGTTAGGTGTGTTTCTTTGAACAGAGACCAGAAGTCAATATTTGTAGAGGAAAGGACAAACATGGTAGACTGCTCTTCGTTGTTAGAGGAAGTTGGGTCTTTTTAAAGCACAATGTCACTTCACATGGTCTGCCTGGAGACCTCTGACACAGGATGCGGTTTGACAAGTGAAACGGTGACAGACCAAGATAAAAATACGAAACTCCTATTTATGCTCACGTACAGATCTGCAGTTTCTCCTGTACCCCGCACATATTTCCTAATATTCTGTTTCTTTTTTGATTCAGCATTATGAATGACATCAGACCAGGCAGATCCGTTCGAGAACAAGGAGGTCGACAGTTAGAAAGGAAAGAAGGAGGTCTTAAAATGAGGAACTGGTCTATGATTTATAAGCTAAAAACCCTTCCTCCATTACATGATCAGTCATGCTTACACTATACTGACACTAATCATTGGAAACGTCAGGGAATCCCACTTTTTATGTACAAACATTCCCTACTTCTATGCCCCCCAAACCAAACATATACTCATGAGGATTTTGAAGATGTTAATCAGACCACACTTACTGAAGACAGATCAAGTTACAGGACAAACATTAGGATCCTCCCTTAGGCTTCCATTAACTGCCGTCATCCTCTGATTGTAATGGATGCGTTCAGTTACTGAGGAAGTTTATCATTAGAAATGGTTAATGAGTGTGGAAACACTGGAGACACTGAGGGTCTGTTGCCCGTGTTATTCAGAATGAAAAATTCCCACTGTCCTTTGTGTTTCATGTGATCCTGATATATCGCACAGTATGCAAACAAACGTTGTCAAAGATATCAGATATCAAGGGCCATCTGGGAACGGTAACTTGGCAACCATCGCTTGACAATAAGGTAGGCAAAACATTAAGTGGTAAAACACGGAAGCTCTTCCCTGGACTGTCTGTTTAGTGATAGAAGCTAGTTTGGTCAGTCTGAATCATTGCGATGACTAAAACAAATGAAAACAATGGACATTTTGAAAGGCAAAAGAACATTTCTTTAAACGGCAGTGGAGTTCAGTACATAAACATTACATTAGATTACTCAGCATAAATATAATAAGACTGTATATAACACTCTCTGATCTACAGGAAACGGTGGCCTACCAGAACCCAAAGTGTGAAAAATGCGTGAACTTAGTTTTTTTTTTACTAAATTCAGCTCATTTTTAGATCCATCTGAGACTATTAGCGTTTGTCTGTAAACGACAAACAAATATGAGATTTAGAAACCGTTTTAAAACCTGAATTACAACACGCATCACCAGTGAATCATGTGATTTAAAACTGCTTACAAAACACTGTCGGCACAACATATTTACAGTATACAGTTCTGCTATCATCAGACTACATCTTAACTGTCAAAAGAGCATTGCTTGACATCAGCAGTGACCATGATGATTATTAATACACTTTATATATTATTTGCTTTTTTAATCCCCATCAATCAGACACTATTTTTATTATTTGATCACACTACAAACTTTAAATGAGTTGAGTTTGTTTTTATTTACGAATAAAAACCTGGTGATAATTTAATTTGCTTTTTAAAATACTATCTTCACATATTTTGTCATTTGCAATCGCCATTTTGGTGTCCGTAAATGACAACGGTTGAAGTTAACACAGAAGGGTGACTAATTCGTGTGAAAAAGGATGACTGCATGCACACATGCATTTTGGCTTTGACCTTTTTTCTCCTCAGCATCGCAACAGGAAGTGGTCACTCGAACGTGATACAAGACACTGTTTCATCAACGCTTCAGCCACTGTAACCTATATAATAAATAGGTTTATGGTTGTGCCGATCTGATCATTTTTGTACACTGTTGGTTATTGCTTATCAGAATCATCTATTGTGAGTTGCACTGCACCTATGGGGACTTTTAGGCCGGAGCTGTGAGAACTTCTGCCGTTTTCTTCTCTGCGAGACTGCTAACATCACAAAGACATCATTGAGATCTCTGATGGTTGAGTCAGATCAGAGGCCTCAGTTCGCTTTGGGTTTTTGTAGCAGAGGAAAAGAAGAGGAAGGGGCTTAAGGTTCAGAGAAGAGCTGAAAACCGCACTGATCATTAGACTGTAACATAGTTTATCATTTAGATTGTATCTTGCTCTGCACTTAATTTTTTTTAAATTAGCAAATAAAGTCCACATTTTTTTCTAAACAGTTCAAAGAATATTGCATATGTGTGACTAATTTAACCAGTTTAATCACCTAAATAAATCTAATGTAATCACTTATATAATCTAGGTCATGGTACTGTATAATAAGTTGTGTACTAAACGTGTGGTTTGTACCAGTGGAATGTGCAAGTTGTGCACAACAATGAGTTTGAGAGATGGATGCGTGGTGGCGTGTGCATGTGGTACTAGTGTAGGTGGATGAGGTGCTTCTGATGGCCTGACCTTAATACTGCCGTATATAAACTTCAAATAAACCTATAACTTTCTTAAGTCAAACTCATTTAAAGAGACAGCTAAAAGCATTGGCTTCCTGGCTGCCGCTTAACTACATGGAGATTGCAGTCTGCTCTGCATCATCTCAGTTGCTCGAAAAAATAAATTTTAAAAATATACATCATAAGGCTCCTATTGGTATGCCTAACTTTTTGATCAGGTGAGATTTTGTCTTTAGATTTTTGGTTACAGTACTAACTTTGAATATTGGTGAATAGCAACACTGCAATGGAGTGATGAGCCATTATTTGATTTTTACAGATATCAGGGCTTCTGCTGACCAAATGTGTTTTAGAATAATGGGTATTTCTAAAATTAGATTTTAGAATAACCATTATACTTGTGTAATGGTATAGTTGGCACTGTATTAAATTGAGCTTAGCCTATACAACATTTAGATAGAGAAAATATATATATTTTTTATTAATACAGAAATTAAACAAAGATTTGATAAATTATTATTAGTTTTGTTTTGTTTTTTGTTTTGTTTTTTGCCGGCCTGTTCAAGTTCATAACTAAACCAAAAACCAAATACGCGTCTGTTGCTGTAGGGTACTAAACAAACGGGCGGGGACTTTTTGTTCAGTGCTTCACACACACCGTTCATCCAGATCAGCGTTCTTAATGAACGATTTGAGCAAATCGGACATAATCGTTTAGCTCGGTATGGATTAGATTCGAATCAAAATGGTATTTTTCTGTTTTCTTCTTCTTTTGTCAGTCAGTTGACGTCGTCATGAGGAGTTTAGCTATCTGCTCGGCGAAATGTTGAGGAATACTGTTGGCAGAATAGCTTGCTTTTATCTGTTCCTGCAAGGATTGAAAGGTATGTTATTGTTTGTAACCGACATGTATCCAATTTCTTGTTTAATTTTCTTTCTCTGCAACAGTCTCAAATGACCTTAACATAGCCTTTTAAGCTTTTAGAGTTTTAATGGATTAAAAAAGTTAATAACTATTTTATTGTATATTTATTTATGTAGGCTATATATATATATATTTTTTTTATTACATCAGATAGCATTTTAATCTTTCAAATGGTCGTGTTACAATGTGCCCCTCACTTGTTACAACATGACCAACCTATGGGGCATGTTGTCACATTTTAATTATATTCTTGCGGGAATAGAAAATTAAGACAAAGTATTCACTGTATTAATGAAACAAAACCACATAATTGTACTAGACGTGTGAAATTAAGGAGGTAAAAAATAAATACTCTGAACCCCAAGTGAATTTACACAAACTGTGAAAGTGTTAAGTTGTGCCCCGCTCTCCCCTACGTCTGTAAATTAGGCTATTATAAAAAAGTATACAACCCCACCCCTGAGTTTCTCCTGTTTGTGTTTCAGGTGTGTTTGGTGCTGGTACGGATGAAGTGAAGTCAGTGTCAGTGACTGAGGGAGATTCTGTCACTCTAAACACTGATGTTCAAGTACAGAGAGATGATCATATACTGTGGATGTTTGGACCTCAAGAGACTCGTATAGCTGAAATCCACAGACAGAACATCTATATAGATGGCACCGATATTATATTTGAGAAAATACTCCAGATGGACAATCAAACTGGATCTCTGACCATCAGAAACATCAGAACTGAACACACTGGACTTTATAAACTACAGATCATCAGCAGAGGAACTTCATACAAGAGATTCAATGTTTCTGTCTATGGTGAGTAAAGTGAAGTGTTACATATTATAAATGTACATCTATGTCAGACAGAATCACTACCTATGATCAAATTAAACATAGAGGACATTTAAAACAAAAATGGCAACTGCCTATTAGTTAACATTAGTATCTAGTTAGTATACATTCTTTTAAATACAGATCAAATTGACATTTACGTTACTAATGTTATTTTTGTTTTCCAGCTCCTCTTGCCAATCCTGTCATCACTAATAACTCTTTAAATTGTTCATCATCATCAAGATCATCAGAGTCCAGATGTTCACTGGTGTGTTCAGTGTTGAATGTGAGTGATGTGACTCTCTCCTGGTACAAAGGAATCAGTGTATTGTCCAGCATCAGTGCGTCTGATCTCAGCATCAGTCTCTCTCTACCTCTGGATGTGGAATATCAGGATAAAAACACTTACAGCTGTGTGATCAACAATCCTGTCAGAAACCAGACCACACATCTGGACATCAGTCAACTCTGTCACACATGTGAAGAAGGTACATCAACAGTAATTAGTGTCTATTTACTGAATTGTTCTGTTTCATTAAATATCACATAGATTAATATTTTCTGCCTATGTCCAAATGGCATAGGTATCATTGCTCTGGGTCTATAGAGGCAATGCTGATGTGAGGCCAAATTTAAGTTAATAACCCCTTTTTGTTTTAGGATCTCCGAGTGGAGTCCTCCTTGCTGCGTGTATTTCTGCTGCACTTCTGCTTGTACTTGCTGGTTTGATGTACTTTCTCTACAGGAAACGCAAAAGAACGGCTCAAAAAGGTACGATTCTCCTTCAGCTTCTATATAGCAGGAAGAATTGTATTAACGTTTTTGCATGAATTGCTTATGATATTAATAATTGATAAATTAACCATCTCCTAACCCTTTAGGAAATGTTTTTGAACCACACACACATACAGTAGGAACAGCTCAGTCAGGAGAAGACGAAGTACAATATGCTGAAACAGGATTTTTTATACAAAATGGACAAAAAAAGGTATGATTTTCATGAAACAGCATATGTGTGCGTGTCCATCCTGTTTTTGTTAACCTAGAAATTGGATGCTTAAAGCCAAGGTTTAGTCACCCAAAACATAAAAATCATCATTGAATCGCCCTCCTGTCATTCCAAACTAGTTTGACTTCTGCCTGTCGAACAAAAATGATAATTTTCAAAGATTATCCAGGTTACTCATTTCGGTGTAATTAAAGTGACTAAGAATGGATTATGTCAAGCTGCAAACTGGCAAAAACCACCCTAAAACTATATAATTTTGTGATAGTCCAAGTCTTTTAAAGTCAATACAATATTCTATCTCTATTTCTTAAAAAAAAATGTTATATAGGAGATTACACTGTTATACTGTTAGGAGTGTAATAATTACACTCCTAACAGTATAACAGTGTAATCTCCTATATAACATTTTTTTTTAAGAAATAGATATAATTATTATTTAATAAACGAAATATTTAACATTTAATTTGAACTTTAATGGGGAAACATGAGGCCACAGATCTTTTCTTCTCTGCATGTAAAATCATGATGAAATGAATGTCTTTAACTTATTGAAATGTCTCGTATGCCTGCTAGAGCTTGTTCAGGGATTTGTTTTTCTGATTTTTCGACTACATGCTCTGATTCACCATCTCTGTGCTGTTTCTTGTAATTATGATGTGTGTTAATCTCACAGATGTTCTCCTGAAGAGTTGCATAGTTTGTCGCATTTGTGTTGCAGAAAGCTAATGATACAGAGGAAACAGAAACAATATACTCCAGCATCGCCACATGAGACACTGACGAATTTTAGCAGAATACTTTGGTCCGGATTTGTCCGCTTTCAAACAGTGGATTGAGAAGAAGAATTCAGAATGACTTCAATATGGTGTTTTCATTTTATTTTATTACTTGTAAGTTGTATATCTTTGGTGGAAAAAACAGTCAGTCTGACCCAGAAGAGAAAGATAGAAGAGTTCAACTTAATGAATTTGTCTGACGTTTATATGTTTTGCATATGCAAATATCCCTCTTACGAACACAGACATATTTGCAAGCACAGCCAGTCATATGAGTACAAAAACAAGCTAAAGCTCACTTTAAACCCATTGACTAAAATTGTTTTAGGTACTCAACATTCACATAAACATAACATTTTGCATTACATTTATTTTTTACCTTTGTTGTTTATGTCTTGTTTAAGAATGAGAGTATAATGATGCATGTTTAAATGCACTTGCGTTAGGCTTCTTAATGCCCTCCCCTTCTCCTATTCTTGCTAAGTACAGTCTACCTACTGTAACAACCAATGTTGTTGATCTCCTCAGAGTTGCTCTTCCTTATTGTTTGTACAGTAAGCCACAAGACCCCACCCTGACCCCTGCTGTATTTCCAGTAATTGTGTTCTGTCTGTCCTGTATCATAGCTCAGCAAGTCATTACATGTCCCACCATACCATATCATTTCAAACGCAGGCTGAAATTTGACATGCCTCTTTGTATTTGCAGTATTTTAAAGCCACGGGGATATGTTGCACTTTTTTTAATAAACAGTTTTATTGTACCAGTACGCTGCATTTCCAAATTTGTTCATTTCTATGCAAAGTTTTGAGGAAAACCATTATATGTAGCTAACAACTCCTATAACTTTTTTCTTTTCTTCGGGAAATAAAAGGTGTGCTGTCTCTGCAGTGTCTTAATGTGATGAGATACAGAATCTGAAATGAAAGCACTAGTAGTTCTTCAGCATGTGCATATGTTACTGTAGACTGTACTCGTTGAGGTGTGTAATCTTATGTACAGTGCATTTGTTTGTGCCTTTGTACATTTAGTTTAGATAAATCGCTTGCTTTTTCTTTTTACTGAGGAACTCTTGAACAATTGCGAGTTATTGCCACCTAGTGGTCACACACTTTAAGGCGCTAAAGAAGCTCAGTTAAACGCCCGACTGTATGTAATGTGTCCTGTGCAACCAGTGCCGTTGTCTTCATTCTGACTGTTTTGAACAGTCAAAAACAGTGAAATCCACCAGAGAATCTAGCAAGGGTTAAAGTTCAAGTCCCATTGTGACAGCGATGGGCCTACTGTCATTTTGTAACCAATTTTTTTTTTTCATAGACCCTAATATGTAAACCATAAATAGAATTTACCTTAAACCATAAATATAGTATTCAAAACAAACATTGCATTTGAAAAAAAAAATTTAACCCAAGCAAAACATAATTAGCCTTATGATAAATGATTTTACAAAAGTAAAAAATATTTCAGATTTACACTTTGATAACACTTTATGTAACAATACTGTTAAATATTGTGTTATAATTTCTGCTTGTAAAGTCTTTTAAGTGGTGCTCACTTCCCCAATAATATTGGCGTGTAGTAATGGGTGGAGCTTATGTCTAGCTCCTCCTCGCTAGAGCTCCAGCGAGGAGGAGCGAATGAAATTTGGGCCTAATGGGTGGAGCTATAATATACAACCACACTCTAACCCTACCCATAACTCTATCCCTCCACCCAGACGTCCTCTTTTCCTTTCCTCGCTTCCTTTTGTCTCAGGCAGCTCCACCCCCAGTAGGATGCGAGGGAAGGCTGCAAGGAAAGAAAATGAGGACAGAGGAATCGGAGGAAAGCTTTTTTGTATATTGGAATATTCTTGATCACTGGAGCGTCACTTAACTGCGTCATCAACTGCGCTCAAAAGATCTGCCCTTGAGAGTTTGTTTATTAAATTAATTAATAAATAATAAAGATAAAGCAAGATGCACTGTTGATATACTGTATGTGTGATATGTAATTTATTTAAACTGCAACGGTAAAGCACAAATTAAAATTATTGTGACAGATGTGAAGGGGGAGGAGAAATTTTACGGGTGTCAGGTTTCTCGACAAGAAAGACTTCGGCATAGAATACACCTGTGCATCCTCGCTCATGACTCCTCTGGAAGCCTCACTCCTCGACTCCTCGCTGTGCCATTAGAGAGTTTAGATGTAGGCTACTTCAAGATGGCTCGATCGGGTTCCGGGTCATAGGATGGAAGACAGAGGATGGAGGACGGAGGAGACGTGGAGGGCTATTGAGAAGCCCCCTTGACTCTGCAGTGAGCACCACTTGGGATTATGGGAAGGGTTAGGGTGTGGTTGGACAGTCTAGCTCCACCCATTACATCCAACGAGGGGGAGCTGGACGTCAAGCTCCACCCAATTGGCTCGCAGTCTATCAAGTCTTTTGCTTGTGTCATGTTTTATTATTGCTTTTACGCATGTTTGCCCAGTAGATGTATGAATGAAGGACATTGTTCTTTAATATCGGTTTCTTGAACAAATCATTCTTTCTAACTGGTCTACAAAATTTTACTAATTGTTTCAAGCATCGTGCCTCGGTGTCATCCACAAAATGCTTAATCAATTAACCGGTGTTTCGTGTGTGTCTGACGCTCTTCTTGACTTTTCTTTTTTTCTTTCCTTGATTCTTTCTTTCTTTTATTTATTTATGCATTTATTGTCAGTGCTCATACGCTGTCCATCTCACAATACTGTTGTTCTGGTAATTAATTGAAAAGCACTAATTTCCTCGCACTCTGCGCTAATGGACATGTACGTTTATCAAGCTGTCTGGATCTGACGTGGAAAAAAAGTAGAGCGACAGCAGTCATGCCCAGCACAGCATATATCAGAGAAGGAATCACACTCTCAGAATGGACAGCTTCTGTGGAAAGAAAATACTAATATCAGCACATGAGCAATCTTCCTAATAAATGCATGCTGGTAAAAGTTCTCTGATAAAGATAATGAAAAATGTTCCTCAAAATATTACTGGAAAAAAGTAAACACTTATATCAACAGCAGGCAAACCTGAATAGACACTGATGGTGTACCTTCATATGTGTGACAGAGTTGCGTGATGTCCAGATGTGTGGTCTGGTTTCTGACAGGATTGTTCAGCACACAGCTGTAAGTGTTTTTATCCTGATATTCCACATCCAGAGGTAGAGAGAGACTGATGCTGAGATCACACACACTGATGCTGGACAATACACTGATTCCTTTGTACCAGGAGAGAGTCACATCACTCACATTCAACACTGAACACACCAGTGAACATCTGGACTCTGATGATGATGATGATGATGATGATAAACAGTCTCTAGTGATGATGGGAATGGGAAGAGGAGCTGGAAAACAAAAATAACATAAGTAACCGTAAATGTCAATTTGATCAGTAATTGAAATACTACTAGATACTAATGTAAACTAATAGGCAATTGACATTTTTGTTTTAAATGTCCCCTGGTGAAAAAAAATATGCTAAGTATACTTGCAGCCAGACTAGTTATCAGTATACTTCAAGTGTGTTAATGGTTAGTTAACTTGAAGTGTGCTATTTTGAAACAACTCATTTTGTAATAAGTATATTTTAGTTGTAATTAAATTGTAGTAAAGCATAACTTTAAGTGTATTTAATGTACTTTTAAGTACTAAATTGGACCAACTTCAAGTATACTAGCAATATACCATAAGTGTATATTTTTGGGATTTTTGCCTTTTATTAGGATAGGACAGCTAGACAGGAAGTGAGGTGGGAGAGAGAGGAGGGACCATAGGGGAGGGACAGGAGGATCAGGAAAGGTCCACAAGCAGGGACTCGCACTCTGGTCTCCCGAAGCACATATCTGTCACGATTAGCCATGCACTCCCTTGGTGATTACGGACTCCATTTCCCATAATGCATCTCCCTGGACTGATTACACCATACACCTGCACTGCGCTGATTACACACACACACACACACCTGCACCTCATGTTTAAAAACTCATTTAAGCCACACTCACACAACACTCTGGGCTAAGTCTTGTTTTGCTGCTGCGAACATTTCCAAGCATTTTTCCATGCGTTTACCTGGTTCCTGTATCCTGTTTGTTTGCAGCCTGCCCTGATATCTGCCTGTTTATTGACCACGATTTTGCCTGATCTTCTCTGCTGAGTTTGCTGGTGTATGGATCTGCACTTGGATCTGAATGACTCCTATGCTTCGCAACAATATCGGTGCACTTGCCCAAGAGGCTATTGTCTTCAATAACAAATGTACATTATTAGACAAATAAAACTTAGCTATACTTTGTACAAAATACTATTGTATACTATAATGTATTTTCAGTGCATTGTTACAATGATCATTTCCAGCACATATATATATATTTTTTAAAGTGCAAATAAATACACTTTTAAAAAATAAACAATATTTTCACTTTCACTTCACTTTTTAGAAAATACACTAAAGTACAATTATTTTAAAGTGTGTTAAAAGTTGTATTGTAAAAATAGGTAAAAGCATGATCCTAATATACTTTTAATATATTTAAAAATAGTACAAATTTTGTTAGTATATTTGCAATGTACTATTGAAAAAGGAAACATATTTCAAATATTTTCTCTAGGGTTCTCAGTAATGTTTAATTTGATCATAGGTAGTGATTCTGTCTGACATAGATGTACATTTATAATATGTAACACTTCACTTTACTCACCATAGACAGAAACATTGAATCTCTTGTATGAAGTTCCTCTGCTGATGATCTGTAGTTTATAAAGTCCAGTGTGTTCGGATCTGATGTTTCTGATGGTCAGAGATCCAGTTTGATTGTCCATCTGGAGTATTTTCTCAAATATCAAATCGGTGCCATCTATATAGATGTTCTGTCTGTGGATTTCAGCAATACGAGTCTCTTGAGGTCCAAACATCCACAGTATATGATCATCTCTCTGTACTTTAATATCAGTGTTTAGAGTGACAGAATCTCCCTCCGTCACTGACACTGACTTCACTTCATCTGTACCAGCGCCAAACACACCTGAAACACATTTAATTATATTTAGCTGAACCCACAGATATGGAAGTTAACCTTTGAAAATGGAATATTGAGCATATTTGTAATTTAACAGTTTAGCACAGTGAAATGACAGGATATGTTTTTTTTCAACCATTTTTTTTGCTTGGCAACCTCTAAAAAGGTTAACAAATCAAAAAAAAAAAGACGAATAAAAAAAATAAGTAATACAGATCTTACCTTCCACACAAATGAAGAGCAAGATTAAACAGCACATGTATGCGAGCATCTTAGAAAAGTGACTGTGTTACTGTGGTTTCAGTTCACAAACAGAGCATGTGCTGAAGATTCAGCCAATGACCGCTCATACTGTTATGAGGAAGTAGCAGAGGTGACCAAAATGGACTTCAGTTCCTTTCTGAAGTCCAAAACACAGGTTTTTAGCATATTCTTGGTTGTTTATAGTTCATGTACCAATAGCCTACACGTTTACATGTCCATCTCATCCGGTTACTGATGCTCTTTTTGAACACCTTTCTCATGCAGTAAAATTGAATTCACAGTTTAGTCTAAGTTATTTTTTTTTATTATTTGAATTCAAAGAGTGTTTAAAAGGCATCAGATTAATTTTTGTTGCTAACCAAAGCAACATCAATGTTGGCATTTTGGGCTGAGGTTTATTCGTGAGAGGTTTAGTGCGTGCAAAGGCCGAAGAACAGCATTGTGGTTACAGCTGTCTCTTATACCTTCCGTTCACTATACTTTCCACTTGATACAAACAGTGTTAGAGACCTCTAAACTCTGTCTATACTTACAGGATCCACTGACGTATTTACTGTAATACTGAGGAGTTTGATTCATTTCAATGACACAAATCTTTTGAGTCAGAGCAATTGGCTTTTGCCCCGTTTATTTACCAGGGTATTGATAAGATGGTGTTAGTGATTAAAAACTGCAAAAACTCTATGTTATATCCTCAAAATATAGTAAAAATTCAGGTAAGTTTATATGCTTTTGTTTTGACAATATGCTTTGTCTCTGGAAGCCACAACTTCCGTCTAATCTCTGAGGCAGAAGCATGTGAATCTGCAGTAGTGCAAGATTCGTTTACAGTTGCACGTAAAGGCTACCTAATATCTGTAGATTGAATCACGTCAATCTTGGTGCACTAAAATACAGGCAGATTAACTATATGTGGTGTTACCGCCCTAATGGCAGGGCACTGCTAATTGCTAAGGTGATCAAGTGGTGAAGACCTTAGCAAAAAAAATGCTTGTTTTTGTTCGGTCGCAATAGGATGTTCTGGATAATTGCTGGGTTATAAAGTTGTCACAATAGATTTAAAAAAATATACATTTAACATTTCAGGGAAAATATGCAGTGGCCCAGTAGTGCACAACACAATGAAATTTAAAAAGCAAACATAAGTGCACAACACAATGAAATTAAGCCTCACAACGGAAATGAGCCACAACACAACGGAAAATGCACAACACAACAAAACAAAGCCGCAACACAACGGAAATGCCCCCGACCACTAGAGGGCTCTCGGATTTTAGTCGTGTCTGTTTTTGAATGTTAAAAGTAATTTTAATTAATACGTTTTAACAACTTGGAGGAATTGGCAGTCGTTCCCTTAAGCGCTGTAGCGCAGAGGTCTTCAACCCTTCTCCTGGAGGCCCACTGCCCTGCAGAGTTTATATCAAACCTGGTTCAGTCTGTGATTTTCAAACGATCCTGAAGAGCTTGACTAGCTGGTTCAGGTGTGTTTGATTAGGGTTGGAGTAAAACTCTGCAGGAAAGTGGGCCTCCAGGAGCAGGGTTGAAGACCTATGCTGTAGCGCGTCAAAAATATTATAGAGTACAAATAAGCAGCTATAATGCATGTAGGTGATTTTGAATGAATAAATGTTGATATACAATGGTTAGCTACATACAACTAATCGTGGTGTTGATATATTTTTTAGACTGCTGACTCAATAAAACAGTGGCAAGGAAAACTAACTTTATCGCACTCCGAGAGCCCTCTAGTGGCCGGGAGCGTTTTTCGTTGTGTTGTGGTTTATTTCGTTGTGTTGTATTTTTTCCGTTGTGTTGTACATTTTCCGTTGTGTTGTGGCTCATTTCTGTTGGGTTGTGGCTCATTTCCGTTGTGTTGTGGCTCATTTCTGTTGGGTTGTGGCTCATTTCTGTTGTGTTGTGGATTCATTTCGTTGTGTTGTGAACATATGTTTGCTTTTTAAATTTCATTGTGTTGTGCACTACTGGGTCACCGTAAAAATATACTTGTTGGGTAATTTACTTGAAAAAAAGTTGCAAAAACCATGACAGACATTTAAAGGGTCACTTCACCCATTTGCATTAAGGTTTGTATTGTTAGAAACCCAGTCATATATTATAATGATGGTGGAATTTTGCTTGTTTTTTTTTTCTGAGATGGGAGAAAAAAGGATTTAAGTGTTTTACTTCCGTCCTATCGTGACGTAAATATCGTCATTTTGCGTCACGATAGGACGGAAGATAAATTTCATTGCATATTAAGAAAACTACAGCCTTTAGCTCATTATTATTCAAGGGCGTGGGACCCACTCACCCCACCGGCCTATTACAGATCAGTGGGTGGGACTAAACCTGAAGAAACTAAACTATTAATCCGCCATCTTGCTTGGAAGACAGCAAGCTAAGCTAACAAGCGCTCAAGGAGTTAGATTTACCATAATGCCTGAATTTACGACACACGATATGGAAGACGAGGATTTTGAAAATCTTTTGCTCGAAACTGATGTTCGTGGCTATTTATTCGAGGCACAATATAGCGAAGAGCAGCTGAGGCTGATGGAGGAACAAGAGGCGGCGGCGTCGGGTTCGTTGTTGTGGGAAGAATGAGACGGGAATCGGCGAACATTTAAACATTTTAATAGTAAAATAAACAAATACAAAACAAAAGTATAAGCCAGCAGCCCCGCACTACTGGCCACACACAACAAAAACAAAACACACCATAAAATCAGGCCTGTTCCTCTCTCGATCTGTCATGTCGCTCCTCGTTTTATGCGTCCGCTCCTCCGTGAGAGACGCGAGAGAGACCGGCGCGTCTCACAGGTGTCGTTCATTATCACTCGCGCCGCTCTCACGTCCCTCGTCCTGCTCGCCACAGCCAACTAACTATACATTTTGTGTGAAATGAATTTCTAACTCTGTTGGCAGCTAACGTTAGTCCTGTAGAGTAGACGGAAGAGTGATTTCTCTGATGTTTGCGACTTTGCGCTGTTCTGGATTAGTGGGAGTGGCTTGCGGAGCTGTGCAACGTGGTGCATTCTGGGAGTTGTGGTCTTACACACAAATGCGCCCTAAAGTTATTTTCTGTCTTTTCTCGGTCAAGAGGGCACCAAATTCAAAATTTCTTTTACATTTCGACTACATATATGACCCACTTTCAATAAAGATTAATGTTGAAATGGGTGAAGTGCTCCTTTAAAAAATAGAAAGAATCTTTTTTTTAAATTGCCTTTACAGGGACTTTAAGAAAGAAAATTATTCTAAAATAAGTTAAGATGAGATGATAATCTGTATGGTTGGTTTTGTTTATTCACAAATACTGTACGTTGTGCATTAGTACATTACCACATTAAACATACATTAAACATGTATACAACAAATTATGTACAAAAAACATATTTACAAATAAAAAAACAGAGAGCGTTTTTTCTCTGTAAATAGACAATTTCCATAATGTGCCCTTTTTTGTGCAATTTCTGATGACATGATCTATATAGTCCTTAAAGGGTTAGTTCACCCAAAAATGAAAATTATCCCAGAATTTACTCGCCCTCAAGCCATCCTAGGTGTATATGACTTTCTTCTTTCAGCCAAACACAATCGGAGTTATATTAAAAAATTTAATAATAAATAAATTTTATAATAGGAGTGAATGGTACCTTAGATTTTGAAGTCCAAAAAAGTGCATCCATCCATCATAAAAGTAATCCATATGGCTCCAGGGGGGTTAATAAAGGCCTTCTGAAGTAGCTTATTATATATTTATATATAGCTCATATACACCTAGGATGGATAGCTTGAGTGTGAGTAAATTATGGGATACTTTTCATTTTTGGGTGAACTACCCTTTAACTTTGTAACATTCACACCCTCCATAGTTGATGATTTGGATTGATGACTTCGGTCTTCTGCGTCAGCCTGGACTGCAGCCCTGCTCATATTCCTGCAGGATCTTCACCACATCCTTGTGGCCGAACTGCATGGCGTCATCCCGAGGAATATTTCCCCACCTGAATTAGTGATACAAGGTTTATTATGACAAAATGGAAGAAGATGAAGGTAAACGTTTAAAGAAACTGATCTGTACCTGTCTTTCACAAAAGGGTTGACTTTGCAGGCCTGCGTCAGAAATATCACAACATCCACATGACCTAAAACAGAACAGACACAAGAAAAAATCGATTTTTATAATTAAATAAACTGTATTTGGCACTAAAAGAGGCTTTAATGTTTACAGAAAATGATTCTACCTTCTGCAGCAGCGACATGGAGAGGTGTGCGAGAGTCATAGTCCTTTAACTCCATATTCATGGATGAAAGAGAAAACCTGATGGAAGAAAAGAGACTAGTGCTGTAAGTAATCTACGTGGCACTCAAATTATGAGGCAAAGCGAAGACATTGTGAACTGAAAAAAATGACCTTCTCAGAGCTGAGACATCTCCACTGTGGGCTGCAAACATCAGATTCACCACCGACTTGTTCTACAACACAGATTTGATGCGTTCATTACTGGAACTAAGCTGACAAAACTTGTTTTGGTGTTTAATGTTGTAGTTTAGTTCATGTGGTTGGTGTGAAAGCTGCTTTTCAAGTGTAGGGTTTACCCTGTCGTCACCAGACTGTCTGCGAGGGTCTTGCTTCTTCAAAAAGTGCCTCAGATTGTCGTAGTTGTGGAAGTTGAACAAAGACACCAGTTCCTAAATACAGAAGGGTTACAAAATTATTCATTTATACTAAATGTATGGTCTGGAATTAAAAAGAGGGTGATAAACCAACAGGACGATGACAGAAACACCTGACAGAAGTGGATTCCACGGACGCTGTTTCCGATTTTGTCCACTGGGGGCGACCAACACATGATGCCCATCACGTTCGGCACCACCAGAAGAACTGCCCCCGACACACCGGACTTAGCAGGTAATCCAACCTGACACGTATCAAAAACTTTAGATAGACTAAGATGGTACGCTGCAATGGTACGCTGCAACAGGCAATATAAGCAACTGGGTGTCAATTTAAAACATGTCCCTTCATTCTCCCAGCGTCAAATTGGGGTAACAACCTCACCCAGTGGGATTATATAGATTAGAAGATATATTATAATGTACAGTATATAATAAGACATAATATATATATATATATATTTAAAGATGTTTACTTTCAAAAACGAAGTAAAATCGTTCACTGGCTTACCATGGTTACTCGATGAGGTACGACTACGAGTAAATGTACGGGTAAGACACCTCTGGCCACTGGGTGAGGTTGTTACACCAATTTGACGCTGGGAGAGTGAAGGGACATGTTTTTAAATTGACCAAATTAAGTTTATTGATGTATCTTTCACAATCTATGGCAGGCAGGGTGGACATATAATTACTTGACATGTTTTATATTAGTGATTTTATATTAGTGCCTCAGTGAAGTCTATGGGAAGTCTAGTTTATTTTCCCCTAAAAGTGGGCGTGAATCTGTTCTGAGACATTCTATGACGTTGTGCCGGTTGTGAGTATACAATTTTCTACTAGAACCTAGAAAAAAATCTTTAATGTCAGATTGTTTAGATGTTCTCTGAAGCACTCTTGTAAATATAACATTTATTCTGAAACACACACACACACACACACATATTGGTCTATATACTGTAAATTGTCAGTCACAAGGTAATCATAGCAACAGTAGGCAGTTTGAGCACTTGGATCATAATCGGACAGGATATTTTCAAAACATAAATACTTTAATTATTGCTTAATTTTACTTTATTTGTGTCTTAAATACTGCAACTATATCATAAAATCATTTATATTAATTTAAAAAATCTTTAAAATAAATAACGCTAGATTTTTTATGGTTATAAACCATAACTAAAACCATAACATTTCTGTTGCTTGAAATAAAATAAACTATTAAACTTATTACATTTCTAATTGTCAAAAGCAACATTTCTTATTTTCATTTAGTCTAACTTGATTTAGTAAAATAACTAAAACTGAAATAAAAAAATGCATAGACATATTAAAAAAAATAACTACTAATAAAAATGGCAAAAATAAACTCAAATTAAAATGAAAACAGAAAATATAAATTGTATGAATTTTAAATATTAATAAAAAACTATAATAGTATCTAAATGACGCTAAAACAACACTGGTTGACACTTGCAAACTGAACTAATTAAAAATATATATATATATTTCTGTTGAATAGATTGAAAGTCATATTATTTGGACTCTGACTAGTTCTGAATTTACTCACGTGGAAAGCGAACTGTCCCGAGTAGTCGTACATCCCGCAGGAGTGCATGAGGCTGAGTGTGTTTCGTACAGCTTCTGTGCTCAAAACTCTCTCTCCTGTGATTGGACAGATGCCTCCGTTAGCCAGTGTGGCGGCCATCACACTGCCGGACTCACACGTGACCTCTATAGAGCACAACTGTGAGGGGCAGAGAGGAAATTCAGTCGAGACTGTCAGTGATTATTTAACATTTAAATAATTGAACTGATTAAAACAGGTGAAGAATCACCTGACCAACCTGGAAATAAAAGTCCAGTGCGTCAATCATATCCGCCCCATCTGGAAAACACTGTAAAGAAGGACAATCAACAACATCCTGCTAGTTTGCTTATATAAAACAATGTTCGCTGAAGTACAAACCTTTTTTTCTTTAAGGTAGTATCCTATTGCGTAGTTTCTGTCTCCTGTCTCCTTCTCTGACTGGAATCTGTCCAAACGAAAATCAAACGTAAGTCAATAGCAATGAAATTGCGTGGAAAACAAGTGTAAAACGCCAAAGCGAAAGACATACGTTGCGTTGCTGAAGCCCACATACTCTCTGCCTGTCATTTTCTTCACAAACTCCATCACCTGGTGAGGAAATGCAACAAAAATCATTTAGCAAAATAAAAAAACAGCCAAATAAAGAGTCTGAAATCACATCTGTTACATTTTGGGGATAAAGACATTATCTATATGATATAGACTATATCCAAAAAGCAATATTTTCGAGGAATAACGACTACTGTAAAAAGAACTACTGTATGACTTTATAATATAGCTGAAAAGTTGTATGCACTACTTTTGGTGCTTTGGAGATTAATAGCCAAATAAACATTGTTCCATTAAAGGGATGGGTAGGAAATTTGTTTTATAAACACATTTTGTTATTTGGTTAAATCTCTCTACACATCCTGATAGCAATCAATAATAGAAGTGGTCTAAATATTAAAACAAAAATCTTTTGTGAAAATTTGAGGACCAAAAAAAAAAAGGTTTGTCCAATCATTGCAATAGGATCTCCTACCTGCCTGTCAGCGTATGTATTTTCATATTTTCAAATGAAATTTAAAAATGTCAGCAACCAACAACTTACATAGTCAAACTTCTCCGCTTTGTTGACACCTGGCTGGAGAGAACGAGAAGAGGAACAGTCAATTTTACCAACGCGAGGCTTTTGCCTATTCTAGCTTGTAATGGAGAACCTAGGAAGCACAGATCACATACATTTGGTCTAAAGGGCACTTTTAATAGCCTGGATTCAATCCAGACCAGTAATAGTCCTGCTCATAGCTTCACCACAAAACAACACATGTAGCAGATGCACCGTGTCTGTCCACACAGATCTGGAATTCTGGGTCAAAGGTCTGTAAGCTCAAATGAATTATAGCCTGGCACGCATGTCAGTGTATATCAGTGTTTGTTTTGGAGTTGCAAGCAGAGTTGATTATCGGACAAGTAAATAGTGCAAACACAAACCTACTTGACACTAAACTCCACAGTGAAAGTGCGGGTTTATGTTTACCTTGATAAGTGAACTGATGACAATCGCTCCTGCGTTGACCATGGGATTGTGGGGTTTATCTAAGAACAGAAAACCAGCATCAGCTCACAGGTTTTTTCATTTAATATGAATTTATGGTTACACTTTCATTTTAAGGTTTCCATGTTAAAGTGTAATTATTCATAGAAGTACTGAGTAAAAATTAATTACTGTAACGTGTGCAACAAAGACACTGTAGAAATAAAGTGTCACCAAATTTATTTATTTGATTTCTCTAGAAGCATAAAAATGCTTCAATAGGAATGTTTTTGCTTATGAGTTATTCTGCTCTCCATTTACTCTCATTGTTGTCTAGCAGAAACAAGATATTAAAGAAATCTCATTTGTAAGTTCTTTCTTATGGGCAGTGTTGGGTAAGTTACTCTAAAAACGCAATGGTAACACTTTACAATAAGGCTTCATTTGTTAAAATTAGTAAATGTATTATCCAACATCAACTAACAATGAGCAATACATTTGTTACAGTATTTATTAATCTTTGTTAATGTTAGTTAATAAAAATACAGTTGTTCATTGTTTGTCGATGTTAATAATGCAATAACTAATGTTAACAAATACAACTTTTGATTTTAATAATGTATTAGTAAACATTGAAATTAACATTAAGATTAATAAATTCTGTAGAAGTATTGTTCATTCTTAGTTCACGTTAACTAATGAACCCTTATTGTAAAGTGTTACAAAATAATTAATTACTAGCTAGCTACTAATTACATCCTTGACAGTGTAATTAGATTACTTTACTTCTTTCTCTTTAAAAAGAATTGCTTGCTTATTACTAATTACTTTCTAAATCCTATATCAACCTAGACCAGTTGAACAACATAAGGATAGACATGAAACTGCTATTTCTTTTAAATAGATCATATAAAATTGCATAAATTTTTCTTGAACTGATCAAAGTATTTAAAGAAGGTTACATTAAAACATACATTTTAACACTAGACGTTACATTTCTGTGTTAAATCCACTATTGTTTCATATAGAATTGTTTGTATTTAATGCAATTACATCAGACGTAACTGTGATCAAATTACAAAAAAATTAAGAGTAATCCCTTACTTTACAGTAAATTACAGTAATTAATTACTTAGTAATGCATTACACCCAACACTATATTTTCTGTAGCCAAATGTGTATATCTTTTGCATTTTGCTCGACATCAAGAACATCTGTAGGTTGTTTATATGATAATCTATGACATTTCCTCACCCACCGTCTTCATCCAGAGAGAGTTTGTTGAATTTGAATCCGCTGGGCTCCTTCCCCACGTAGTGGTGCACTCGCTCCGTGCCGTGCTCGTGCACAGCGATGGCGTATTCCAGCGGCTTCACGCACGACTGCAAGCAGAACGGCACCTTTGTGTCTCCCACTGAGTGCCTGAAAGTCAAAGAGTTCATTTGAAAATCATCACTTCATATTATAGAAAAGTTAAGGGAGCTTTTTCTATTTACCTTTGACCGTCCACTGTGCAGAGAGAGACGCCCCAAAGATCAGGACTAAACTTGGTGAGATGGGGAATGTATTTTGTAACCTGAAAAAGATTCGAAGTGAGTCCAACTATACAAATAAATGAGGAAAAATTATTTAAAAATACAGTTCTTACATGTCCATCATGTTGCAGTTTTGATGTGTGGTAAATATGATTGATGATGCCAACAAATGCCTCAAATTCGGGAATGATAAACTTCCGTCTGAAAGCGAGACTCAGCAGAACGATGTTTCCACCAGCACACCTGTCACAATGTTGGAAATGTTAGAAACTAGAACTTCATCTGGTTAAATATTCCTCTTTATGCAGGAAATTCGCAGATATTTTTTGTCTGACTTTCAAAATTTACTCACTTTCGGAACAGCTCACGGTCCATCATGGCTTCACCGGCTGATTCCCGGATAGCTTCGCGAATCTTTTCCATGCAGTCGCGCAATCTGGGGTCAGAGGTCAGAAGGCCGGTGCTTTTCACTGCCTGTTAGATGGGGAGAATACCGTTCTATCCTTGAATTTGTCGGGCAAACTTTAATTAAACAGTAATATTTATAAAGATTACTCTAATTATACAATAATCAAACAAATCAAACATGTTTCAACTTAAAAAAAGTATGTATTCGTGCTTGACGTAAAACATTAAGTTTAGTTAACTTTAGTTTAGTTAAGACCATAGGTACTGGGGGTGTTTACTGACCTTCTGTATAAATTATTACACAACCCATTACAGCAGTACCACAAAGTCTAGATAATCGTGTGTGAGTTTTACCCTTTTACCTCAGCCCAGCTACTGAATCAGATTTCAGAGGGAACATGTAAGGGTGGTGATGGTAACTGAGCCCATAACATGCATCTGAGTCAATGTGTGGGGCAACTCCCAGCTGTTGCCCATATACAGTGATGTTCAGTTTGCAGACTAGCAACTGCTAGTGCAAAAAAAGTTGTATATGATTCAGTGTGTATGTAAACTAAAGAACTTACACCGATGAAATGAGATACAGGAACGTTCTCCGCTCCTTCAGTTATAGTGTAGAAAAGCATGTCCTCCAGTCCAGAGAATATACTTTTATTGGTCATATTTCTGCTTTAATGAAAAAAGATTAGGCCTCCACACACACTAACACCAAACAAATGTAGGCTACTTTTTCTTTTCTTTTTTTATCAAACATTTGATACCAATAAACATTTTTATATATTATAAAAGTGACTCACGTTTTCGATTTTGGTTTATCCACGGACACAGGTGCTGTAAATTCGCGGGCTCCGCGGAAAGTTAAATTAAACGACCTCCTCGCCACATTCTGACACGCTGAGCTGCTTTTTGCCACTTCTTTTGCCAGTAAGCCAATAACTCCAACATTAGGCAGTCGTAGGGTCCTGAAAGAGATCATTTTCCTGTATCGCATAAAAAAGAAATAAAAATTTGAAGCGTAAATATGGGGATTTAAACTAGTCCTGGTCGCAAATAACGGAGATCACCCTCTCTCGCGTGCGGCTGGTTTGTTTTGAGTCGCGTCAACAGGTGCGCGTGGAATCCGGTGAGCGCCAGAAGCACTTTATCAACACTGGCGTCTCCTAAAAGTTCACCGTCACAGATAACTTTCACTTTTAAATCATCGGGGGGCGAAGTGATCTCATGTCATGATACTGAGACAGCACTTTTTGAGATGTTTATAAGCGTAAATTAATATATTCTAATAATATATTCTTCAAACGATCTAAACTCCGTAACTTAACTCGTCTTCTGACAACTGTTACCCCAGTAGAAAATATAGCAAGGCATTAAATAATATAAATGTATACGATATGAAGTAAGTGTAGGCCTATATTTAAAGTAAAACATTTTACAATCGCTACGTAGAAGAACGATGACGTGAACAAATTCAAACGATCTTCTGGATATTCTCGGAATTTTAAGCCTAACTAGAATCGCTTCAGGGATAACAGTTTAATGATTTCTTCGTCATAGGACGAACTGTTTAATGAATAATAAATGTTCATGGCTCTTAAGAAATATTTGTTGATAAATGAAATGGTCTCCACTCACCTGACAGTATATAATTTCTGACCAACTGAACAAAAACATCTAGTTTGTTTGAACTAGAACCAGCAAACCATCGATTTAAGCTCACCTTTCTGGGAAGAAACTGGTTCACAGATGACAATAGGCTACACAGAAAATATTATTATAACATTTATTAAATTATGTTTATACAGTTATGTGAACTATTCCATTAAAATATCCATAATGTGGCAAGTCAAGCAAACCAGTAGGCCTATGACAGTTTCATACAAATATAATGCCAAAAGTCAAAGTCTCTAGTGTCACTAGCAACACATCTACAGTAGTTGACCAACAGGCACATATATTGGTGATGCATTTTCAAGGCAAGTTCAGGCAAATGTCACTTATTCGGCAAGAACATGCCAATGAGAAATAAGATAAATGGCTTGGTGTGGAAATACACTACAGGTCAAAAGTTTGGAATAATTCATATTTATTACGGGGGGAAAAAATGCATAATTATTCCAAACTTTAAACCCGCAGTGTACATACTTTGTATAATTGTTCATAAATGTACAAAATTAGACCCCAAAATAGAGTGTCTTCCAGTGTATCCGAAGGGAACCAAAGGAAAGAGTTAAAAGTATCTAGCCTAAAATGACCTTTAACCACACTCTAAATCTAGACACCTTTTGCTGGCTTTGGCATCACCAGCTTCAGCGCAATATCTACAAAGCAAGCGGGCATATAAGACAAGGGGATCCACAGGAGCTTGGCATCCCAGCCTGCACTGTAGCGTGTTCTTGGGTGGGCGGCCAGCAGGGCGTGTTCCATGCAGTTGGTCACTTTACTGAGGTCAGAGTCGCATATGGTGTTCATAATCAGCCTCTGGATATTGATGTCTGGAGAAACAAAGAGCGTCTAAATGGACTATGTTTGAATAAATGAAGAAATGGTAATTGTTTGCATATATTACATACATTTATCCAAGTATTTGTCTCCGTAACTCTCTTTCACTTCAGGGGTCAGTTGGTCCCAGAGGCGATGAAGTTCCCTCTCGATGGGCTCCAAGCTGGTCACCTGCGTCTTGAAGAAACCAGGTTCGATGATGCACACGTTGACCCCAAAATTCTGGATGTCCCTCCTGAAATTACAGGAAGTGGTGGTGTCAAATGTCGAAACCGACACATAAACAATTTGTTTTTTATCACAGACCTTTTATTGGCAGACTTTTAATTCCATCCAAAGGTGCAAATTTAGCTGATGGACAAAAATTGAATAACCCATACAAATTTTGCGCTTAAAGTACCATTTCATGTGTTCAAGAGAACAAAATCATCACTTCATGGGAAACTAGCGCAAAATATCTTTGAGGAAAAACCAATTGTACCCGACCATTTTGATGACAGACTTTTTATATCAGGCATTTCAGAATGACCAAACCAACATTTGTCGATGAAATTGGTCCACTGTCATATTATTTTTTGTTGCAGATTGAGGGATTTATTCAGTAAATATGTTTCTAACGTTGTTTATGTGCATGTCCTCTTATCAGATAAAAAATGTCCCACCTTAATTGAGTTTAGAATGCGCATCTTGGCTTTTCCATCTAGAGTTTTTTTTTATGTGATATCCCAAAATTTGCACAAAAATAGGTGGATGGAAACGAGCTTTTGAAGTGTGATACCTGAGACAGTCGGAGAAGCTCTCCACCGCGAACTTCGAGATGCAATAACCGCCGCCATTGGCTGCCACTCTACCCAACACTGACGCCACGTTCACCACTCTTCCACGGGCCTTTTTCACAAGAGGGAAGAAGTTCATGGTCATCTCGATCACACCAATCATGTTGACTTTAAGCGTGCTTTCAAAGTCTTCGATTTTCATCCACTCAGATGGTCCCATTGGAAGAGCACGTCCGGCATTGTTCACCAAACCCCAAAGTCCTGGAAAGTTAAGAACAAAGATGTCAAACTTGTTTCTAAAACCTTTATTTCATAGTTCACCTGAAACACACCTTTATCTCCAACTTCTTTTTTGGTCCATTCCACAGCCTTCTGAATGCTGGCTGTGCTGGTCACGTCCAAGATGCAGGTCTTCAGGAAAGGTCCCGTCGCCCTCTTCAGATCGTCCGCGCCCTTTTCCGTGAGACACCCGGCTAGGACGCGGAAACCACGTTTGTCCAGGCGTTTACACAGTAGGTGTCCGAAACCAGAGTCACAACCGGTCACAAAGACGTGCTTCTCTGAGACCTTGGAAATCTCAAGGTTGTCCCGGTAGAACCACACCAGAACCCACAGCACCACAAACGCACTCAAGCAGCACGTCCACGAACAATCGTTACTGCGAGCACATGAGTATAAACAAAATTTCATGATATTCTTTATAGTTTTGTTGGTTTATTTGCTTGTGTTTTGATAGTAGTGTAGTCAGACACGTTCTTACCTCAAGAACTCAAACATTGTTTTTGCCTCCTGAGTGATTCTGTGAAGATGTTTTGTAAACAATTGCTTTTTGGGAGAACGCCAGTGACGTAAAAGACAAAAAACACAACAGTGCAGGTGTAATTAGAGCAGGAAGCGTCAGGGTGCAATTCCTTTAATCACCACAATTGGCTAATCCAACAGAGAACATACAGTTCAAAAAGCTAACATAGGAACTTCTCAAATATTCTACATTTCTACAATGTTCTGAATGTTTTATTAGTATCAAATATGGCTAATTTGTTTGTAGAAATCCTCATCACATACACATCCTCTTCTCTCAACTTTCTTCTATCAACAAGTTGATTTGGTTGCTTCTATAAAGCGTAAAACCATCAATCAATGAAAGTAAATCTGGTAAAACGTTTGCACAAATCAGTTTGAGCTGATTACTACTACAAAAAACTGCATTCTTTTAATGTATCCAACAAAAAAAAATCATAAATAGTAAGACTTGTATGCTAAAATTACATAACATGGTTTTTGGAGGTTCATTGAACGTTATTGACTCGTGACTCAACACGTTTTTCAGAGCACAAGAGAAATCTTGAGCTAAGGCTCTTATGAAACAAAGGGAGACTTTGGAATCAGCGTAGAGGTTTAGAAAATGCAGAGATCGGTTGTGTACGGAAAAATGGAAAATCCAGCACCACAGAAGCACTTTAAGCTTCTCACAATGCAAAACCTATTAGCTTCAAAGACTAATTAGCAAAGAGAAAGGTTGAGGATTCATCTCTGTGGTATGACACAACCAAGAGAACAAAACCAAGCATAGAGAAGACTTAAGCTTCTATACACATTATGCTTTGAGAAATGTATGCTAATTAATTATCAAACAAACAGGGCTTTTATCAAAGGCTCAGTTAATGTAAATTATATAAATGTGCGTTCTGGTATTAAATGCACACAATATTTTACAATATTATATATTCCTCAGATGATAATGACATGAAATTGACTAACTTATCATTATTAACTAAAACTTCTAAACCAGTCATATCATAGCCAAAAAAAAAAAACCGTGAAACTGGTTTTACATAAATCATGACATTATACAATTACTCCAATTAGCCTGATTAATAATTCAAAATGAATTGTTCTTTAGTAAAAAAAATATTTAGTCTGTAATTTTAGGAGAATCTTAAGCCAATTATTTAGCTTTTTCTCTAAACGAATACTTAATTCACACTGTAAAAAAATGATTATTTATCACAACTTAAATTTAACATTAGAATAAGAAATCATGTGTTGTTTCAACTTAAAAAAGTATGTGTTCGTGCTTGACTTAAAATATTAAGTTTTGTTAACTTTAGTTTAGTTAGTTATTTAAGTTATCTCAACAAATTTTAAGTAGTTATAACTAATTGTAGCAAAAAGTTTTACAGTGTACATTTAAATAAATGTTATTTCGCATCTGATTGTGAAAAACATCAATTGAAGGAAAAAATAAGTAACTCTGCTATGAGTTAAAGTAATCAAGACTTACCTTTTCCCTTCTTGGCTCTGGAGCTGCAGGTCCTGAACGCGTTTGGTGAGTGATCTGAAGTGGGTCTGTGTCTGAGATTTATCCCTTAAGCTGATCCTCTAAGACAGGGCCACAATTTCTAATCTCCAAACTCAGTGTATTGCTGTTTGGTCATTTTTTGTGTGCTTGTGTAAATGTGATCCCTAAATAGCTGGGCTGGGAGGAACTTTTAAGGAGAAACATGCCAATTCTAATTATATTTAGGTTGATCGAATTAGTTTTTGGGTGGTTGACAGGAAATTTCAAGCATTGACATGGGCGTCCAATGATGTGACATTGTGACATTTTTGTCTGCAACAGATTTAAACTATTTCTATCTTTGGTCAAATTATTAGAGATGATGTTTTTATGACCTCATATCAGTTAAAGGGATAGTTCACCCAAAAATGAAAACTCTGTCATCAAACCTGTATGAGTTTCTTTTTCCTGATGAACACAAAGGAAGATATTTTGAAGAATGTTAGTAACCAAACAGTTGCTGGTCCCCATAGACTTCCATATTATGGGGGGGAAATACTATGGAAGTCAATGGGGTCCATCAACTGTCCGGTTACTGACATTCTTCAAAATATCTTCCATTGTGTTCAACAGAAGAAAGAAATGCATACAGGTTTGGAACAACTTGTGAGTGAGTAAATGATGACAGAATTTTCATTTTAGGGTGAACTAGAATACATGGAAAAATTGGACTTAAAAAAATAAAAGTAATAATAATATAAATTAAATACAAATATTAAGAATACATAATATATAAATGAATACAAATATAAAAATACATTTTGTAAAAATTTTTATAGAAATCTAAAAATTGCAGAACTATTTAACAGCAAAAATAGATCAAATGTTATTAGAAATGTATAAAAAATATTTTATAAACACACACACACATATATATATATGTGCGTGTTTGTGCGTGGGGGGTCTTATACGTTATATGCCTAAAAATCACAGTAAAAATTGATTTGAAGCCTCGACACAATCCGAAACTCAAGATGAAATCATATCATATGGAGTCCCATGGGGCAAATATGTGAAATCTGGCATGTTGTGGACTTAAAACAGCCACACTTTGTTTTACGTCTTAGTTTTTTCTCCGTTACATACATAAAGTTAATCCTATGAGGCTGAGAGACTGAGAGAAATTTGGATTATGTAGAATCACACTGCATGCCCCGCTTAAAATGGGTTAATAAAAATGAGCAAACCGTGAAATCCCACAAAAACGTATAAAATCTATTTTAGCTCCCTGTTACGTCTACGGTCTATAAAAGAACAAGACAAGTTTGTAATCATGGTTCTATACGTTCCTTACTGAGGCTGAATGGAAAACACTTGCCAAATGTTTGAAGTGAAAAACAAGAAGCGAATCTGAACAAGGTGAATCCCAGAACTTTTGAGGGTAAAATATGACCATAACTGCAATAACATGCTCCAACGCAGCAGTTATAGCACAAGTATTTGTTTTTATTACACAAGCACATTGATATTACATAAAACGAAAATAAAAAATGAACCAAATTCTAAATAAACAGTTATTCCAGCAGTGAATAATTGAGACACAAATGTCTCAAACAACAGTGTCCAAGTTCCTCCAACAGTTGGAGGAAAAGCCTTTGGGTTTCAGTCCATCCGCTCATGAGGACGCGGGCTGAACCGGGCCTTTATGCACGTACTCCAGAGCTGTCGCAATCGTCCGCATGTCCATCTCGATACTTCTCGCCCAGTTCTCCACGTCTCCGATTTCCTGTAAAAGAAGAATCGGTCATGAAACCTGCAAATTTCACTTCAGAGAAACACTAAATTATGAAAAACATGAATCACTATAAAAAAAAAAAAAGCTGGTGTACTTTTAAGGCCTGGTTGAAGTTCTCCACCATGCTGATCCACTGGGCCGTCTGCTTGGAGAACTGACTGGCCTGAACCTGCAGCGTCTTCACCTCATGGTCCAGCTTGCGCTGGTTGACGTAGGCCTGCGCCACCCTGAGCAGAGATTCGGAGATATTACAATTTATTACATTATTGTTGTTTGGTGAAAATCTGCAGGCGAAATCCAGTCACTTCAAAAGGAATATGCGCGATCGGAGGTTTCAACAGAAATCGGCGCGCTAACCAACAGAAAGCTGATTGGTTTGAAAGTGTCTTCTGTGTGAGCTGTGCTTCATACATCTCTACGCTTTTACATGAAATTTGTGAAATGTGAAAGATTTCTTTTGGTGCATTCACTCTTTGTTGTAATTACGACTTGTAAAAAGTGTTCAGTCCTCGTAGAACTCGTAATTACAACTGAGCTCCAACTTGTACCACCTGAATGCTGCAGATTCATTGATAATGTTGCCATAAATATGCATAATTATGAGTCTGAGGACATGAACCATAGAAAAATATACATAGAAAAATACATAGGTCACTCTTCCGCCAGAACTAGACTCACGTACGTCCGTTACCGGAAAGCTAGTGATGATAGTTCACAATAGATATGAATATTTTTCTTACAAAAACACATTGCTTTGCTTCAGAAGGCATTTATCAACCCCCTGGAGCCGTATGGATTACTTTATGATGGATGGATGCTCTTTTTTGGGCTTCAAAATCTCAGTTACTATTCACTCCCATTATAAAGCTTAGAAGAACCAGGATATGTTTTAATATAACTCTGATTGTGTTTGGCTGAAAGAAGAAAGTCATAAACAACTAGGATGGCTTGAGTTGTGAGTAAATTATGGGATAGTTTTCATTTTTGGGTGAACTAACTACCTTTAAGAGAAGTAGCTTCTGACGAAAGTGACGTGAACCTGACGTCGTAAACATGAGTTCCCACCTCGCAACTTCACACGACATGAACGCATCAATTATACACATTTTCATTCCAGCCTCGGTTTCATAACGTCGGCTGTTGCGAGAACAATGCTCTGTTGCATCCAACCGTGCGGTTCTAAGCTGCTTTTGCACAGTTTCGTCATAACAGCGGCACAAAGACTTGGATTATGACCGCGGTGATCACATGAACTGACCGTATAATCCTTTACCTTTACAAACATATAAAATGTATCGGACTCACCCCACATTTAGATGATCCACCAGGGCTTCTGTTAAACATGTTGCAGCTGTTATGGCCTCTCGTCTTCGTCTCTCTGTACAGTATACAAGTGTGTTATCACTTGACCAAGTACTGCATACCATAACATAACATAATGTCATTTCTTTTTAACAAAGTGATATTTGTTTTATTTGAACAGTTTTATTATGTATTTCTTTATTTTAAACAACACTTGTTTATGTAACAATTTAGCAGCTATTATTTCGGTATTGTTTAGACGTATTTTAATGCAATTTAAATCAGTTAAATTAAATGTATTTAAATCTAAAGTTAATAAATAAAATTAAACTTGAATTTCTTTCCATAAATGGTCCTCCATGATATAGTAAAAATAAGGTGCAAAATAAAAGCAAAGTTCAGCGAATGCAGATGAATGCAGGATAGAGTTTGGGGATCAAGTGAACATTAATTACCAATTAACGCCATATTTTCTTAAATACATTACAATAAAACAGACAAGTATACATTTGAGTTGTACCAAAAGGGCCTGTAAACTAAAGCTAGTCGGCAGAGATCTACAGAAGCACATACCTTGCAACTCTTTCCTTTCGTTTTGTTTCGTTTGGTGTTCTTTTAACAACCGGGAAAGCATTTTGTCTATTTAATGTAATAAAAAATGAAATATGTTGATTGGATAAAGTCGATATTGTCTCAATGTTATGGCAATCACTGGACTCACATGACAAGCAGGTCTGAGTGAAAACATACGGCAAGCGCGGAGGGACAAAAAAAATACACGAGAGTATTTTAAAACGACATTTTAAAATAAAGGTTTCTTTAAATTATGATTTTTTTTAATCACATGGACCTAAAAGCTGACCGACTAGCGTTGACTGTTCTTATATGAGTGATAAAAACGTCTATGATTTAATTTATGTATTTATTTAAACCATGAAATGTGTACATCATAAATTCATTTTGTTTTGTTTTTAATTTCCATGCTTGTTACAGCCAGTTTCTAGGGGGTAGGACAAAAACAAAGAAAAACAAAACGAAAAATGTGTTTGTTTTTATTATCTTGGACTTTTATTTTGAATGGTTGCTTGGACACCGCCTTTTTCCAATAAAACTACAACTCCTATAACCCTTCACTCACACGTAAACATTAACCCAGATGATACTACAGCTGGAGCTTCTGAAACGATTCACATCATGAAATGACACAAAAGAGACTCAGAGGTCCCGGGTCGGGTCGGTTCGGCGGAACGCACTGATTTAAAACCCTTGACATGAGTAAAAGAGACCGGAGAGACACATGCTTTTCATTTGACATGCGTTTACACAGCTAACGAGGTGATGTGGCCTGTAGGTTAGCTGTCAAGCTAAAGGAAAAGCCCATCAGCTGTTCGCATTGCATAGAAATAAAATGATGTAGCTGGACTTGAACCCGAGGAAAGGGACAGACATTAGCGACAGGATGAAGAAGTCACGCAGTGTCGGAGCTTCTTCCTCGCTCAATGGACTCGGAAAACAAGGTGTGTGTTTTATTAAAGTGTGTTCATTTATGACATGATGGGACTCATGGGAGCTTTTCACTGCTCTAACTGTCGATAAAAGATGAATGCCTGTTTCAATATTACAGTTTGTACTAAACTAATTTTAAAAGTTTGTATCTTATGAGATAGAAATTAGGTGAATTTGAAAATGGATTATCTATCTTTCACACTGTAGTTCTATCTATCTATCTATCTATCTATCTATCTATCTATCTATCTATCTATCTATCTATCTATCTATCAATTAATCATACTGTCACTACATTCATCCATCCATCTATCATATTGTTGCTCTATCTATCATCTATCTATCTTACTGTCTGTCTTATCTATGTATCTATCTATCTATAATTCATATATCTAGGCTATATATATATATATATATATATATATATATATATATATATATAGAGAGAGAGAGAGAGATGAAACAATACATAAATATGTTGATATATAAATTATACATATGTGTATTTGTCTGATAGATATAGGAATATTTATATACAGTAGTCAACATTTGAAGTCGATCAAAAAAGTTCATCAAAGTTGTCCTAAGACAAGAATGGGTATTGTTCAAAATTCATGTATAACTTTGATGAAAGGTTTTGATCCACTTCAAATGTTGACTACTGTATATAAAAAAATATTATTTTCTTTGGGTGTGGTAACAATTTATTTCTGCCTCATAATCCTTTAAATACATATTATGTTTTCCCTGTGGGAGTGTCCTGTGACTTATCTTTTGTATTTACAAGCCTTGTGCTCATTATTTTATATCTTAAGTACCTATTCATAACATTTATGGAAATATTTTCAGAGAATACATTAATCATCATACCCAAACGTGTGGCATAATAGACTATGCACTGTTTCACAAATGCTTCATATGTTTGGGACGTGAGTGAATTTTGTGAGTCAGACTAAAATAGTTCCCATTCAAGACAATGTCTAGCCTTTTAATCTTACTGTCCCTCTGGGAATGGCTGTTGTGTCAAAAAGACTTGCGTAAAAGAAGGAGAAAGGGTGAAGATCTTAGTCAACTTGTTCATTTCCAGTAAACTCTTGTGCTGAAGCACAATAAGACAGTGCTGTATGAGGACGCGCAGTATTTAGATAATGACTCCAGGCTTCATGTTTGCAGATGGCGAGTCCCGACGGAAGAGGAAGATGGCGGAGATCACGCAGGCCCTGAACGGGACGCCCGTGGATGTGCCCGCTCTGAGGCGCATGGCCATCAGTGAAGGAGGTCTTCTGACCGATGAGATCCGCCGCCAGGTGTGGCCCAGACTGCTCAACGTGTCTGTAGACAACATACCCGAGCAACTAGGTAAGACCGATCACTTAGGACATCCGAGGGGAATTCACTTTCCGATGTTAATCAAGTTTTCATTCTTCAGAGACGGTCGATCGAGACAACAACAAGGACTTCAACCAAGTGCTTCTGGACGTCCAGAGATCCCTCAGACGCTTCCCTCCAGGTGAGCTGACCAGCGCTGCCGCTTCTGGATCTGGAGCTGGGCTCTGCACATGTCTAAAGCTGCTTTCTGTGTTTCATGGACGCAGGGATGCCAGACGAGCAGCGGGAGGGACTTCAGGAGGAGCTGACTGATATTATTCTGCGGGTGCTTGTGAAAAACCCTCAGCTGCACTATTATCAGGGTTACCATGACATCGTGGTGACCTTCCTCCTGGTGCTCGGGGAACGACTCGCCACTGCCCTGGTGGAGAAACTCTCCACTCACCATCTCAGGTGGGCCAGGAACCGAAAAAGAAAACGGTCCAGAACCTGAATGGGACATATATATATATATATTTTGCCAATTGTTTTGCATTCTGACATTGTTCAATATAATTAAGTGCAATTCCCTCTAACAAAAATGTCATTCTCAAAACTGTAATGTGAAAATATTATTATTATTTATTCTTAAACATTGTCTACATATATTTTGTTATGTCATTATTATTTAAACATTACATTGGATATTCTATATAATAATCTTTATTAATTAAAGATTATTAAGTGCAATTTCCTCCAACGACAAATCTCATTCTCATCACTAATGTAAAAATATATTATCATTATTGTTATTAAATAAGTGAATAATATTCATTATTGTTTAAATTTGAAAACATTTATTTGTAAAATATAATCAAGCTCAATTCCCTCCTACAATTAAAAAATATATTAATATTATTATTTAAACTTTAAAATATTAATATAGATTTTTTTATTTATACATTTCTTGAATGTGGCCTAATTTATGCTGAAAATAAAGGGAGCAAAATATGTCATTACTTCAGTTGCTGTATTATAGTAAGGTCAAACATCTTCTTAAAACAAACTTTTTTGGGTAACACTTTACAATAAGGTTCATTAGTTAATGTATTAACTAACATAAACTAACAATAAGCAATTTGTTACAGTATTTATTCATCTTTGTTAATGTAATAAAAACATAATTGTTCATTGATTGTTCATGTTAGTTCACAGTGCATTAACTAATGTTAACAAATACAACCTTTGATTTTAATAATGTATTAGTAAATGTCAAAATTAACATTAGCAAAGATTAATAAATACTGTAGAAGTATTGTTCATTCTTAGTTCATGTTAACAAAAGTAGTTAACTACTGAAACCTGATTGTAAAGTGTTACCTTTTTTGTTTTAATGTCTAAGTAGATCTTTTTCATGCATCTAACTTGCATTTCAGGGACTTTATGGACCCCACTATGGACAACACCAAACACATCTTGAACTACCTGATGCCCATCATCGAGAGAGTGAACCCTGAAGTGTACGACTTCATGCAGCAGTGAGTATACGCCCCTTTATGTTTGCTTTGTATGTTTGTGTTGAAGCACAATGGTTTGATTGATCCTGTTTGGTCATCATTATGCAACACGTGAAAGAATGATGAGCGATGTTCTTTATTCACTTGGGTAGTTTGAGATAAGCATCTTCATTTTCTCAACAGAGCTGAAGTGGGCACGATTTTCGCCCTCAGCTGGCTCATCACCTGGTTCGGACACGTGCTGTCAGATTTCCGTCATGTGGTCCGGTTGTACGATTTCTTCCTGGCCTGCCATCCCCTCATGCCTATATACTTTGCTGCTGTGGTACGTTTGCGTTCGTTTGACTCCGTTATCATCAAAGCCATCTTCTGAGTCTCTGGTTTCTGATATTCAGCAGAAGTGGGTCAGCAGTTTCACCGCCACCGCATTAGCAGCTATTTTTAGGCCGTGTTGTCGAGTCTGAATAAATAATTGACACATTCTCTCATGTCGTGACTATTTGTCTATTGAACAATAAAGTACTGTGTTCCGAATCTGCAGTCTACCTAAACTTCCAAACATGGAGTTTTTGATGTATGTAACTAAATAAATACTAATAGACTATAGAGTAGTTTTAAAAATATATACATATTTTGCATTAAAAAAATTAAGCCTATTTTTAGGACCATTAAGATTGTGCATTGTGACATTAATTTGATTATTATTATTTTGTTTTCCACATAATTGTTAGTAGCCTACTGTAACGTAAAAAAAAGTTAAATGAATTTTCTTTAATGTAAAGGGCAGAAAATTCTCATCATTCCTGTGACATAAAACAGGATATTATTTAATACAATTTTTTTTAAATCATTGTCAATAGCATAATGCAAAATAAAATCATTGTCATTTAATATTTAAAAAATCTCATTGTGATAACATAAAATGATATATTATTTAGTGTTTAAAAAAATATTTATTACCATAATACAAAAAAATGTCATTGTCATTACCATGCCATACAGTTGGATATTAATTAATATTTTTTAAAAATCGAACTCATTACCCTAATGCTATTAGGTATTATTAAAAAATATAAAAATACATAATTACCATAATGCAAAAAATGTCATTATCATTACCATGCCATACGATATATATATATATATATAAATTAAATCCAATAGTCATTACCATAATGCAATTTTATATCATTTCATATTTTGAAAAACATAAAAAATGCAAAAATCTCATTGTCATTACCATTACATAAAATGGGATATTATTTAATATTAAAAAATGTCATTACCATAATAAAAAAACACTCATTAACGTAACATAGATACAAAACATAAATAAACATAGATTGCCATTACCATGATGAAAAAAAAAAACGTATTTCTTATTATTGTATCCATCACATATTGTATTGTATTTAATATAGTAAAAATCACATTTTTATTATCATAATTTAAAAATAAAGTATTCATATTAAAAGAAAATCCATTAAATTTTTTTAAAGTACATTTTTAGAGTATATTAATACTACCATTAAAAACCAGGCTGTAAGATTCAATAGAAATCCAAACACACAACAGCAAAGCAATTCTATCACATTTATTGGTCGTCCTTGTGTCCTGTGTAAATCTAATCCAGCGTTTTCTTCTTCCTGCAGATCGTCCTGCATCGAGAGGAGGAGGTGCTGGACTGTGAGTGTGACATGGCCATGATGCACCATCTCCTGTCCCGTATCCCGCAGGACCTGCCGTACGAGACTCTGATCAGCCGCGCGGGAGATCTGTTCGTTCAGTTCCCTCCGTCTGAGCTGGCCAGAGAGCGCAGTCAGCAGTGAGTCTATCAGCCTTGCTCTGAAGGGCTTTCTCACAGCAACAAATATCTCACAAACCATTCTCTCTGTCCAGAACCGCCGTCTCCACCTTCAAAGACTTTGAGTTGGCGTCGACGCAGCAGCGCCCGGACACGGTTCTCCGGCAGAGACGGATGGAGCAGCAGAAGCGCACACTGGAGGCCCAGCGCAGCACCGTGGCGGTCGTGCAAACCACGGGACGGCGCTTCATGAGGCTAGCGGTCATGGGTTTGACTGTGGCGTTGGGGGCCGCGGCTTTAGCCGTGGTAAACTCTGCCCTGGAATGGGCTCCTAAGCTAGACTTACTCTTCCCGTGAACGAGCCAATCGACAGCCAACAACAGCGTCTCAATTTGAGGACTGAATGTTTGTTATTATGCCTTTTTTTTTTTTTTAGGTATTTATATACGAGTCAGACTAATGAATAAAATATTGTGCGTATGGTTATTCTAATTAAACAAGTTTTTTTTTCCTAGAGTCTGACATGAAATGAAAATGTTTCCTGGATCCACAAGAACGTCAATCATTGTGTCGAGATAAATGTACAGTAGAGGTATGTACACTCCACGGCTCATTCACGAAACACGATCTGTGCACATTTGTGTGTAAATCATCTGTAGACACATTCTTCTTGTGAGTCTTTTTGCATAAGAATGCTTTTACGAATAATTGAAATTCATGTGTGAAAACAGCATTCAAGTACTTTGTTCATAAAACAATTTTTATGTAAATTGTCAAATTAAATGGACAATTTTGCAATAAGTTTTTCATTTTCGGAAGTTCATATACACTGATCGTAAACCAACTTTTATGGACATTTTTAATCGAATGCAATAATTTAGTAATAATAGTTTGGTTTTTGTTTAAAAAATGTATATACATTTTAAATTAATCTAAAACAAAACAAAATGTACATTAATTGTCAAGCTATTTTTACTTAAATTGTCTCATTCAATTCAATGCGAAAATTTACATAAGAATACCTTGACAATGTACATTTTTGTTTTTGTGCATGAATTTAAACTCAATCATTAGTTTAAATGCATTCGCTTAAATTCGACAACTTTGTCAAAACTATAACTTTGCCTTGCGTATAATATACATGTTGTTTTACATGTGAATTTCAAAACAAAAACTCACTTAAACTCTCATTACATTGTTGAATTCAATTCAGTGTGACAATTTACATAGAAATTGTTTTACGAACAATGAACATGAACTTTTAAAACAAAAGTAAACCGTAATTGCTAAATTGTTGCATTCGATTCAATGCGAAAATTTACACAAGGATGATTTTACGAGCTATGTACATAACTAACGTAATTTTATGACATTCATGTACTTTGCTCATAATATAATTTTGATGTAAACTGTGACTGAATTGAATGTAACAATTTAGTAATCATAGTTTTTGTTTTAAAATGTATGTACAAAATAACATACGTTTTTACGTAAATTTTCAGACTAAATTAACTGGAACAATTTACTTAAGAATTCTTTTATGAACTATGTACATAATAGTTTAAGGGAGTTTTTGTTTTGAAATTAATGCACAAAAAAGCATTTATGTACATTGTAAATAATTTTTTACGTAACTTTTCACACTAAATTTAATGCAACAGTTTACGTAAAAATGCTTTTATAAACCATGTACATAACAATAGTTTAAGATATTTTTTTGTTTTGAAATTCATCTACAAAAACATTCACATTTGTCAAAGTATTTTTCTGTAAAATGTCAAAGTGAACTGAATACAAGAGTCTACGCAAGTATGCTTTTATGAATGTTGTACAAGTCCTTTGTAAAACCATCCATTTTGCGGCAATTTACATTTTGCTTTCACAAGCGATGTATGTAAAGTTTTTGTTTTGAAATTCATGTACAAAAACAACATTCAAACAAAAACGGTTGATATACATTGTTTGTAAAGTCATTCTTATGTAAATTTACAAATGATCTATGCAGAAATTTGCTATACTTGTGTTTCATGATTGAGCTGCTATGTGTTTTATTTAAAAATATATATATATATATTGAGACCAAAATATTTTAGAGCCCCTGTTCATAGAATTAGCAATTTATTTGGCAGGAATCGAATTAGTTCTGTGTATGTAAAATCTTAGTTAAGAAGCAATTATAAAACAGCAGTGGATGAAGAGTCATTTTATTATGTTCACAATTTTTATGTTAATGTTTTTGAAGTAAACGTTTTCACTACATTTCATTTTTTTCTTCTCCAAATCACCTTAATTGCAGTATTTTTTTATGATAAGTGCTAATCTTGGTACATTACGTACAGTTTTCATGAATCTCAGAGCTGGAATTGAAACCACTTTTAAGTAAAATTCTGGAGTGTGTTAGTGCTAAACGTGAAATACTTAAAGTAGTTTCTGTAATTTAACTCCAGGTTAGTGTTGAATCATGGCACATTGTTATTTTTATTGTTTAAATGCTGTTCACAACTGATCGTTTCCGCTTAACAACATCTAAGCTTAGATTAACATCCAAGTGGATATTTTCCATTATTCTTATATTGCTGAATCATGATTTATTAAGATAACATGCTGCCATCCACACAATACTACTGTTTATGACAACATAATCACTGCTTTGATTTTGCATTAATTTTGCACTAAAGAACAAGCTTCTTTCTTATTTGTTTGCACTTTGAGAGATTGTTATAAGTTGTCTCTGGTTCGCTTAAGTTAATGTCTCACATTTGACCATGTTGCTAAATATGTTTCAATAAAAAGTAAAGTAAAACGATCTGTGTAAAAGAGATTTGTTCATTTGTAAAAATTCAACATATTAAGGAGTTATTTAAACGTTCAAAAAATTTGAATCGGCTCCATTTTTTTGTATACCAGCTTTATTGAATCTATTGTAAACAAAAGCGAACAGAATGATAATGCTTCAACATGTTTAAAAAAAAATAGGAATATGAGGAAAAACCTGTATTTGAAAAATTATATTACAATTTCATTTTTAATTATGATATATCAATTATTAGGACAATTGAGTCTTTTTCTTTTTTAGATATATAATTTGATTACAATCCACTCCATTTTATGCATTTGTTGTGCATTTAAGTTAATCTTCAATGTGTCGTTTTTTTTTCTTTTACAGTTTGATTTGTTCCTTCATCATGCCATATTGCATATTCTACTACGATTTTACAACAAGAAAATCTTTAGATTATAAACAAAAATCACCTTATACAAAAATCAAGATACAACAATAATAAGTCTTTTCTCTTACAATAGCATTGCACAAAGTCCCAGAGCATCACGTCGCCAGAAAATAGTAGTGATTAAAGACAGTTTAAAGCATTTTTAAAAATGTCACTTTTTTTCCATTCTATAAAAGCTCAGATACTTTTAATTTTGTAAACACGTTCTGAATCTTTAGTCCTGGAACATATCGTTGAATCTGATGTGCCAGTGATATGACTAGAGAAAGTGAACGTTTTAAATGTACAACCACAACTGTGGCACATTAACCTCACCTGGATTATTGTAAGAGGTTTCATAAGTGTTGTGTTACTGTAGCGCAGGTTTTTGCTTGTTGAAGAAGCAGCGTTCAGATATGCCGCCAGTGTTCAATGGCAGTTCTGGCACTGTGGATGGCAGATGACTCCGTTGACTCGACATCTGCAACCACCCGATGTGTCTCCGGTACCCTGAGGAGTCAAAATCAGGTCTAGGTTAACTATATCTGATGCTTGTGAATCACTGAACGAATGAATCATGTAGTTTGGTGTCCGACCTTTGGTCCCCATCGGGCTTGTTTAGTCACCCAGCAGATCTCAGTCTTACACATCAGACAACAGATCCAGTCACAGCCATCTTTCTTCTGGACGATCACCTGACATTTTGGACAGTTCATCGCCTCGCCGTTCTTCAGGAGTTGCTGGAATGGAAACCGGTTGACAGTTAACGAACATTTTAACGTTAATTTTTTTTCAAAAAGCTGAAACATAAAGCACAACCAATGTAATCCGATTCCCGTTCAAATCAATTATGAATCCGTACTTTTTAGTGAATCAAAGGCGTACAGCATGACCAATGTAGTCTGATTCCTGAACGAGGTGACTCTTATGAATCGGCTCTTTTCAGTGAATCAAACACATTCAACACAACCAACTTAATCTGATTCTTGAACAAATGACTCTTATGAATCAGCTCTTTTCAGTGAACCAAACACATTCAACACAACCAACTTAATCTGATTCTTGAACAAATGACTCTTATGAATCAGCTCTTTTCAGTGAACCAAACACATTCAGCACAACCAATTTAATCTGATTCTTGAACAAATGACTCTTATGAATCAGCTCTTTTCAGTGAATCAAACACATACAGCGCATGGGGTGATCGTGGCCTGATGGTTAATGGACAGTCAGACCGGTAACACAAAGGTTGCAGGTTTGATTCTCAATACCAGCAGGAAATGACTGAGGTGCCCTTGAGCAAGGCACATAACCCTCCCTGGGGCACCACAGCAAAATGGCTGCCCACTGTTCCGGGTGTGTGTCCACGATTTGCAGTGTGTGTGTGATCACATTTCACTTTCACACAGTGATTCCTGATTGAATGACTCTTATGAATCTGCACTTTTTAGTGAATCAAACATTGGTTGCGCTGTGGATGTGTTTGATTCACTAAAAAGATACGATTCATGAGAGTTGTTTGTTCAGGAATCAGAAGACATTAGTCACAATGTGTGTGTTTGATTCTCTAAAAGGAGCAGATTCATAAGAGTCACTCAGGAATCAGACATCGGCACTTTTTAGTGAATCAAACACATATAGCGCGACCAATGTAGTCTGATCTAAATGTTTTATTAATAGATCATTATTGTACATTTATTTGTCAATAAAAGCCTTAGTTCAATCTGTTCATTATATAAAGCGATCATGTCTCTTCAGAAAAATGTGGACTAAACCGCTCAATTCCTATGGGTTATTTTTACGAGCTCTTGATGAACTTTTTGAAGAATCAAATTGTCACTTGCGTAGCTGTCAATGGAGGGACAGAAAGCTCTCAGATTTCATCAAAAAGATCTTCATTTCTGTTCTGAAAATGAACAAAAGTCTTACGGGTTTGGAACGACATGAGGGTGAGGGTTAATGACAGAAATGTCCTTTTTGGCCAGACTATCCCTTTAAGGAAATTCTTAACGATGCCCATCCCTAGTGGGCGCTGTTTCAATAACTTCAATAGCTTCAAATATTAACAAAAACGGTTTAAAACAAATGAGTTTTCCACCCACATCCAGCATCTGCGTGGTCTGCCGGGCTGCGTCGTCATTCTGCGCTCGTACACGCAGGTCGTCCTGGTACTCCTGGCAGTTCATTCCCTTGTGAATAGCCTTGAAAAAACACACACAGTCTTTTAGGTCAACGTATCATGCACTTAACTGGAATTGAACTAAACAAACGTGATGTTCACCTTGCAGAGGATGCAGTTGGTCTCATTGCAGATGTCACACGTGAATTCGTTGACGTCATCTTCGAAGATGCACCAGCCGGCACAGTCGGGCGTTTTGCAGTGGTAACTGTTCTCACTGCGCGACTCTGCGATGTTCAGCCTCAGTTCCAGAAACTTCTGGTACTCGTCCTGAGAGAGAAGCTGGTGGGAAACGGTAGAGTTTGATGTGTTTATCAAGTGAACCGCAATAAGTCAAGGTTAACTGATACAGCGTTTATGATCTTACTGATTTGATTTCTCGATCTTGAAGTATGCAGTTACAGGAATAAGCGTCGTCTCTATATGGACACGCCACCTCGGCATCCGTGCAGTTCAGAACGGTTT